AATCTAATATCTTATTATTACGTTATTAATTAAAAAGGTTAGAAAAGTCGAGGTAAGTAGGCTACTCGCCTATAATATACGTTAATTCTAATATAATAACCCTTCTTACTCTTAATATATAGATTCCTCTTATAGCTATAATTTATAGCTATATTTATAGCTTCTCCTATAATAATATTAATATATCTTCTATAGCTCTAGGGTTTACTTTTATATAATCTAATCGCTTAAATAATATATTTATATTATTATTCTTCTTAGAGCGGAAGATAATATCTAAGTTAACTATATTAAGTTCCTTAAACTATTATAGCTATTATATATTAAACTACTTCTTAATATCTAGAAACTAGAAGTTAAAGTAATCTATTAGCGCTTATATTAATTATTATAGATATACTAAGTACTATCTTTAATTCTATAAAGTATTAATAATTATTAATAGCTCCCTTTTACCTATATTATAATATTACTCTATATTTATTAGCTTATATAACTAAAATACTATAAAGTATTAGCTATTATTATATTTCTATAATAGGATTATATTTATTACCCCTTTAAAAGTATTAATCTCTAATCTTATAAAGAAGTATATATCGAAGTATTATAATAATAGAGTATTAATAAAAGTTTCTAATAATTAATAAAAAGTATTATAGCTTATTTTCGATAGCGTTAAAGGCCTTTTCCGACCTCTATAGAGTTCTATAATTAGCTTAAATATAATATAGGAGAAGTTATAGATAAATTTATAATAGAAGTTCGTAAACCCTAGGAATTATTAAATATCCTTTATAAATATAAAGAGAGGTTAGTTCTATAATACTTAAATATAGTTCTCTTTTATTCTAATATTATAGAGTAATATTATATATCCTAAGAAGCTAGTCTCTATAATTAAGAACTTATATTTCTCTAGGCTTATATATAATCCTACCTTTTATAGCTATATTAATACTTCTTATATATAGCTCTCGTAATTTATAAAATCTTTATTATAAACTAAGATATTATTAAAGTAAATAATATAAATATAATTTATTAATTCTATAAAAGTCTTATTAATATATACTTAGAATTATTATAAAAGTATTTAATAATTTTAATAATATAATTATATACTCGAAATATCTATAATATATATAGAATATTATTTTCTATTTATTACTTTTAATAATTTATATTTAATTATAAATAGAGTAATAATCGAGCTTTATAAATATTATAATATTAAATAAATAGTTAAGGATTCCGTTTATAAAAGGGAATATAATATAGTTTTTTTTTATAATCTTATTAAATCTATAATAATCTATATAGAAGTATAATTTACTACCTTTCTTTAATATAAATAATATAAATATATTTATAGAACTCTTTAAATAGTAGATCTAATTATAATCGAGGTTCTCTTTTAAATAAATCCGTAATTCTTCTAATTTTATAGGGTTTAATATATATAGTAGTCCTTATAGTAATTACTTACTTTCTTTAAGCTCGATTTAATAATCTATTATTATATATAGAGGTAATAATATTATACCCTCTTTTAAGAAAATATCTATATAATTAATATAAATAATAAAAAGCTTAGAGCTCTTTATAGCTTCTATTACTCTAATATACTTTATTTATAATTATTATAGTCCTAGAGCTTTACTTCCTTTAAATATAGGAAACTAAATAAATCCCTTTATTATAATATAACTTTTAACCTCTCTAATATCCCCTAAGATTATAATATCCTTTATAGTAATAAGGAATCTCTATTCTTTAATTAATTAATAGATTAATAAATCTATAATAGTAAATTAAAATACTTTAAAATATATATTATAATCTCCTAAGTCTATTATTATAAATTTATTCTCTATAATCTTTATAATATTAAAGCTATCCTTTAATTTTATTCTAAGTTTCGTTTAATTATAAATCTATAATAAATAATTTATAATTAATAGAACCTTTCTATAGAGCTATAATTCCTTATCTTAATTAACTTTCTTTAAAAGGTTATAAAAGATAATATTAAAGTTTATATTTAAATCTATAAATATTATTATAGTTTTTTAATTATTATTTATTTATATATAATTATAAATTATTATTTATTATATAATTATAAAAGGTCCTTTACTTTAAATACTCTATATATTATTAAAGTATATTATTACTATAACGTAGATATATAGTGAGTAATCTAATATAGTAAATAGTCTATATAACCCTTATTCTATAGATCTAGGCTATTATTACGTAATAATAATATATTAAATTAAAATAAAAACTACTTATCGCTATTAGAAGATAATAGGGTAACCTATAAATAAGTTCTAGCGTTATAACTAGTTTTTCCGTAGACGCTATAGCTCCGTTTCTTTAGCGTAGTATATATAGATAGAGCTAGATTTTATTACGTTTCCTCCTTTACCTAAGAATCTACCTCCCTCTAAGTAATCTAGTCCTAACCCTCGCCTAGAGTAAGGCTTCTTCTTTATTAGAGTTATATTTTTTTAGCCCTATAGCGTTAATTAAAGGTCGTATTCTCCTCTTAAAGTATCGTAACCTTAGACTTTAAAAGGGCGATCTAGTATATTATACTATATATACTTTTCGTAAATTACTCGATAATATCTAAAATTAACGATAATAAGCTATTCTTATAATAAATAATATAACCTTTAATAAAATCGGATTATAAAATAGCTTATATAATAATTATAAGCGTTTAGGAAGTCTAAAGGTTAAGTAGCTTATAAGGCGACCTTAATAGCGTTAGCGTCTTTAGCTTTATATTTAGCTTTAAAAGAATTACTTTTAGGTTATAGAGTATAAATCTAGTCCCCCGAAAACCGCTTTAGATATTTTTTTCTATTATTATATTTTAGAATATAATTAAAAATATAAATAAGAAGTCCTCCTATATAATATAGCTTATACTAGCCTTTATCTTAATCTCGATTTACTAATTATATATTTTCTTAAACGGGCTAAAATAATTAATATTAAAAGGTTAAAGTAAATATAATAAATAAAAGGGTATATAGAATATAATAATATTATTCTCTTTATAATAGAGCTTAAATTTAACTAAGTAATAACTTTTATAGCTATTTAAGATAAAGATATAATAATTACTTAACTTTCTAGTTTTCGTATATCGATTAAAATATTAGATTTAATCGAGATTAATTTCGCTTATTGTTTAGCTATTTAGAGATATTATAATTCTCTAATTATATAGAATTATATTATTTTAATATTAAATCGAGAAATAATATTTACTTATAATTATAATATATAATAAAACGTAGAATTTAATTATATTAATATTTTAGATTACTATAATCTATTCTTAATTACTTAGTTATTTTATTTTTACGTTAAAATATCTTTCTATATTTATAATAATTATCCTATTAACGATTACTCTTATTTAGAAACTAATCTTATCGAAGTTATAGATATCGGAGTCTATTATACTATATTTCGCGATTACGTTCTATATAAGCCGAAATTATATATTTATCGTATTAAGATCTTCGTATTAAGCTCTCTTATAGTTATATTTACGAAAGAAATATATCTAGAATATTAATTATCGTTTAATAAAGCTTACTACTTATCGTAGCTCGATTAATAATATACTATAATCTATAAATAATCGAGAGGCTATATCTTTAACCTTATTAAGCTAAGGAGGGTAATATTACGAATCTAGGTTAAGTATATATTTAATAATAATCTTCTCTTCGAGGTCGGTTAATTTCGTAGAATTAGGAGGGCTATCGTATTAAGTAGTAATACTACGTAGGTAGCGGAGGAGTATTATCTTTAATACGTTATAGATCTTCGTAGTACTTATAGCGCTTAAACTCGGTTTATTTTTTATTATTTAGATAGTAAGAATAATCTAGCTTTCTTTATAAATTACTAATATTTCTAATTATAGAATAAATATATAATAAAATATAATTCTTTAAAAGTTAAGTAGGCTAGACTACTCGCTATATTAGACTACTCGCTATATATCTACGTTACTCTTCTATTAATATAAACTAATATAGGTCTCTATTATATTATTTAGGGTTCGAAGTTTTTAGTATATTAATAATTATATAGATTAGTATAGTACCGGAAGCCCTAATAGTCTACTCTATAAAAGTAGAGAATTTAGTATATTAAAGCGTTATTTAGAGTAGAGTAAAGGGGTCTTCTATAGGGTCCGTAGATAGATAGAATATAGGTATAGGATAGGAATATATCTGAATTCTAGCCCTCCATAGCTTAGGGGGCTATCCGCAGCCTATATATACGTTCTCTCCGGTCCCTTAGCTCCCTAGCTAGCCCCTTAGCTTGGCAGCCCCTTAGTAGCTCCGCAGGGGTCCTGATAGTAGCACTGTAGTGGACGAGAAGCCTGTTTCCTGAGCAAAGGCTGTGTTAGTGACGACGTTTGCAGAGGCTACATTAGTCAAAAGTCTGTGGTAGAGAGCAATGTATATATCGTATGGTACGAAATGAAATTACAGTCTATGTTTTCTTGAGTCCGTATGGCGTCGGTGAAGACCCTTACTCTACGTTCGCTGCGAACCGGGGACTAGTTCCTGTACTCTTCGCTGCGAAAGACCGGTAACCCACAAATTCTCGGCGAGGATGTGGGCCCGAACTCTTGGCGACCTGTCCCTACACTCCTTCAAGTACTAGCAGACTCTCGATATAAACCGGCGACGACGAAGCAGAAAAGACGTTCGATTTCATCTGCTGCCCTAGATCATCGATTTCTCCATCATCTTTCAAACTCGCTCTAGCACGTTTCTTGTTAACAAGCTTTGATCTTTCGTTACCATTAATTCTCGATTCCTCAAGTCCGCGCTGCTTTCCGCGAGGGCGGTATCAAACCAGAGGGTCGCCGACGTCGTCCATGCCGTCATTCAAGACGTCAGAAAGAATGGCGACAAGGCAGTGAGGAGCTACTCGGAGAGATGTAAGACGCGTGAGTGGCAAACCCACATACTAACGTTTCAACCACAGCGCATCGGCACGAACCATGTATTGCCCACCCGCAAGGCGGGCAACTATACTGGCGGTCTCTGGGTGGGCAAGTTCCTGAAGACGCAAACGTATCAGGAGATCCTCGATGAAAAGGCCAGTGGTGAGATGGGCAGGCTCTGTGCCAGATGCTCGCGCGCCGAGAACTTTGAGGGCCACGCTCGATCTGGAGATCTGAGAGCGCATAAATACCTCGGGGACGACCACGACTGGGTGAAGAAGGCAAACGTACTGTGGTGTTGCCTGAATGGTCGAGTCGTTTGCATCGCTTTCCACATTGTAGATCTGGATTGCCAAGTCATAGATCATGTTGTGCAGGGCCGGTGTGTGAAGCCCAGTCATTGTACATGCATTGGCGGCATCGGTCGTTTGAGACAATAATGATATGGTCTTCAAGCTTACGCCAAAGGCCGTATCTAGGATGAAATTGTGGGCCTTGAGCATGGAATCTTCTTTTTCTGGCATTCGAATCGTTTCGGGCGAGACGTCCTGGACTCTGCTGCTTCTGCAAGACAAGCCCTGGCTTTCGTTTCGTGGGCCTCTTGCGTTTCTCTGCGCCGTTTTGGCCACGACGTCGTAGCAGCGGAATATCTGATAAAGGGCGTTGGCGAGAGGATATGCCGTCCAGAAGCCGTCACCATCATTCATGTACACGACCCGTCGCGCCAGACCGAGATGTATGTTGCAGTCAGAGTCTTGTGGGCTAAATATGTCAATGGAGATGAGTCCCAAGGCTGTAGCTAGAAGTGTGAGCCGGGCTTGGAATAACTCAGACCCCTCTGCGCTGTCAACGATTTGCGTCAACAGCAGCGACGCCTCTTTGGCGTGGTGCAGAGCCTTCGCAACATCCTGCGATATCTTGTTCCCATTTCGATAAGCACGCTGATTTGCCGCGACTGATAACACTGCATGCCGGAGGGCAAGCTGACTGAGAGAGAGAGATCCCCCAAAAGCCAAGGGAAGATAGATTTGAAGCCATGGATTCCTTGAGGGGTCAACGACGGGCATCATCAGGCTTGATGTCGTCGTTTGATAGAAATTCAGGAGGTCGCCGTCCCCCAGATCAGGGAGCAAATCAACCTCGCCTCCGTCCGCATATATTGGGCTCAGCAATGCTCCAATGTACGAGCCGAACGACGCATCGTCGTGTAACAGAGTCGCATGGCAGTTGTCGTAGGGTTGGTCGTCATGACTCTGTACCGAAGACTCAGGAAGGGGTATTTCAAATGATGAGTTCAACGGGGGATGCATATCCACAGTCTGCAGCCCCACAGATGGTCCCGGCGTCGTGTGACGCATTGTGCGGGCGGCGGTCGTGGAATGGTTGTCAATGAAGCCACGGCAACTATATAACCGAGACCTCTCGCAGTTGAGGCAAACCGGTCGCCTGTTGTCACACTGCGCACCGGTTGGTGGGCATGTCACTGACCAGTCGGGGCCAAGTCCTTACTTACTTTGATCTTCCGCTGACGACAGGTCAAGCAGCCCTGCCGAACGGTGTCAGCGCTTCGATGAAAATGCGTGTAGGAGTATCTTGGCGGTATGTACTCGGAAAGCTCTTCCACGGTGTTTCCTTGCGTTCCTCTGGTCAGCCGTTGCAGCGTCCAGTCCATTATTGGATTCGAAGAAAGGAGGCAGGTCGATCAAGTCAAAAGGCCAAGGATCTGACACGAGATCGTCAGACATGATGCCGCTGCGTATGCATGGAAGGTTGCTTCGTTGTAATTGAATCGCGCGGGCTGCTCATGGAATTCACGTTGCCAAGTGTGGCTGCTTGTCTGACCTCGGTGACGACCTCTGAAATCGGGGCCCATCGCTGTTGTTGAAGGGGAGGAGGGTGGGAATTCCCAAGTACCTATCTTGGTACTCCAGCCCATTGTGCTGTCAGGGCATTTACCGGATAAATATTCGGCCCAGCTATCCTGACACTAAGGTTCCTTAGAGCAGGGCGTTGTTCACACCTACTGGTTTTAAAGTATCGGTACATGCGCCTGTTTCCTAGGCTGCAGGCGCTACAGGTCCCAGCTTATAGCGACTTTCAAATAGTGCTTCGCTGTCTGAATGTTGCAACATGAGCAATTTGCTGCCTGGGTCTGGCAAACATGCGGATTAATCAGTGGGTTGGCGTTGGGTCTTGTCAATGCACGGGAATGAGGTGGTGGCTCCTGAGCCTGGCCATGTTGAGGTGCCGACGCTGTGTAAGTACCCATGAACAGGGACTTGCCTAGGCACCTAGGTAGGCAAGGTGCATGTAGACACTAAAGCAAGGCAATCCTGTATTGTTCCCGGGTCGGGATAACCTAGACGGGGGACGGCCTCTGGTGGGTCACGGCCCTCCCGCAAAGGCGGCTACAATAGCGGCGGCGCGGTACCCACAAACTCGCACGTCAGCCTGCTAAGACGGCATCACAGTTGCTTGGAACAACGCATACTAGATGCATCCGCTCATTCGTTGACCATCGAGTCAAGGTCTATGGCTGTTCACAGTACATCTATCCCATTGCCACACTTCATTCGAGCGCAATTTCATCTTCAATTTTCTCCTCTCCCAGAGGGCCACGAGCTTGAACGTACATCACTCGCGCAGCGTCTCCGTTCTCTGCGGCCATGAACATGACGCCTGCTGGGCAACAAGACGCAGCGAATCACATGGGTTCCGTTGCCAAAACGTCGGTGCCGCTGCTCCGAGGCGGCTCGTCAGCAGCAGCAGCAGCCCCATCCTGAACTGTGGCATTACTAGGCTCACGGTCAGATATGGGAGGATAGTGATGTCGCTGGATGATATTTACTATTGTGGCTGGGGTCCGGGGGCGAAGACGAGTCGCAACAATTCGACATCGTTGTCTTGAAGTTCTGGGTGGGTGAAACCGTTGTATCAGTGAATTTGGTGGAAAGAAATGGTGATTGAGAGAAGACGAATGAGAGAAGACTAACCGATACGGGCGTTGAGCCCACTGATGCGGGCCTGTCGTGCCTCGAGCCATGTCAACATGGACATTGCCAGGGTTGGTACCCCAAGGATGCACCCGAGTACAATGGCAATGATCACTTCGCTTGGGAGCGGCATTGCAGCGTGGTACGTGCCGATGAAGGCTGGTTGTGGGTGCTTGCAACGAGGGGGGCTAACGGGTGAGGAGTGGTTTAATGTGCCGCGCTGGGCGTGGTGTTGCTGGGCGAGGAGGTAGTGCGGCGTTGTGTCTATTGGTTCTCTTTTGGCAGCCAGAAGGTGTTCAGCAGCTCGGTGTAGCAGAGGTATAAGTGCTGGTGTAAGAATGAGATCTCTTCAGGCAAGTGACCGGGGGCGGCAAGTCAATTAAATGATATCGAAGGACTCACTAAAATATATATCTAGTCGTATTGTCTCATGAGGGAAGCTTTGGCTTGCACCTTCGTCATGGAGAGTCGTGACTTCCAACCGCCTGCGGGCCTGACCCTCGAGCGGCTCACGCCCCGTCCATCATTGCATTGCGATGATTGCGACGGCCTTCACAGCCTGCATCAGTCTGGCGGCAGGTCCCTCGACCGCAATCCCAGGACATCCCATGACACGCACCGCCATACCGAAGCATCTAAGCCACCCGTTGGTTCTGCTCCCAGTGATCTGATTCCCCGTCTCTGCAGACACCCCACCGGGTCCAGTGGGCCGATTCGTCGCAATGCCACTGAACAGAGCCTGTCTTCCCATCTCTTACAGGCCATCGCAATCATCGCAATCATCGCAATCATCGCAATCATCGCAATGCAGTGCGACTCCAGCCTTCAGTAGGCGCCCTCAGGGACTCAACCTTCACACTTATCGCAGCTGTCGCAATCGTCGCAATTGTTGCGATCGGCGCCATTATGGTCGTTGGAGACGCACATGTAAGCCGGGAGGTCAGCCAACGCCACCCAGCAGGCCACGCATTGAACTACAGGGTAAGAGTCTACCGTCTCGGACCCGCATGTGCCCGATGCAACATTTGGATGCCTCCCACCACGGCTCCCCGCTGCATGGTATCTTGCCATTGCTGGCCTTGGCACGTCTATCATTCGTGGCGAGTCCTCCTTGGCTACCCCTTGTCAGCTGTCGCAATCGCGCGCAATGATAAAAGGGGGCAGCCCGTCCATGTGCATCATCATGTCTCCCGTTACGATGCAAAACATTGCGACAAGACGAACCTCAGATCCTTGTCTTTGCTCACATCATTTTGGTAATTGGACCGCCTCCAGATACCTACTTGCCTTCAGGCGCGCCATCGCCTGCCGCATCGGGTCGCTCCGATTTCTTGTCATGGAGCTCGAGACTCAGCCTGGCGCGCGCCCACACAAGAAGAGGAGAGCCACGCGGGGGTCCTACTCGTACCAAAAATGCTACTTTTGTCGCAGGGACAAGCAAAAGGTGTACACTCGCCCGCTTGATCATGAAACCCCCCGAGATGTGGTCCGTAGTGCCACGGCATATGGTTGCTAACTATGACAAAGTGCGAACCTCCCACACGCCGTTGGCCTGAGGAATGTACTCGATGCCAAATCAAAGGCTTTGAATGCACGGAAAATCAGCAGACTGAGAACCGAACCAGACGCGGCACCGCAAACAATGTGCCGCTGGTCCAACAGCAGTCGCCGGTTGTACCAGCCCATGACGGCGAGCCGTCTGCTCTCACGGCCAAGGGCTTGAACCTGTAAGGATGGCTTCCCTGCAGCTCAGCATATATATTTAGCTAAAGCCACTAGTGATGGTACAGATGAAATTTTTTTAGCGCTCAGGATATTCGACTTCTGGGCTCAATTCCTCGCAGACATTGATGCCACTTTTACAAACTCCCACTTCAGCCTGCCACAACATATTACAATTGAATGTCTGAACGACAAGGTCAAAGACTTGATACCCAGATCGAGGGAGGAAGCGGTGCGTGAAAATGACATCGAATTGTTTGTTCGCTTACATACTGTGACTCTTCGGGACGGTAGAATCGAGGATGATATGTCAACTCTCCTGGACATACTTCGTGAAAAGATTGAAAGCGACCCATTGGAGCCTTTTGTTAAGGACGCCATCGAGTCACTACGAAAAAGGCACTGGTACCACTATGCCATTCAACTTCAGAAGGACTTGGTGAGAAAGTTGGCGTTCCAGTTCAGCACCGAGTCAAAAGAGTTGGCTGGAGCTGTCTCAAAATATGCCGATCTCATACGGGAAGTCACAGACTTGTCAACCCGGGTCTTCGACAGACACATCAGGAACGACGGTAGTAGGGGCAGTGATGACATGGAATTGATCCGTGCAACCCTCCGGAAGCCGCCGTTTGTGCACGGTTGTCTGTTTCTTTGCGGACCCGGATCACCTACAGCGCCCCAGACGCTACTTCAAATCGTATCAACCTTGGACTCGAAAGACTTCCTCATCGGCCCAGACATTCTGGGTTCGACACTCTTACATTATGCCTGCGGCTCCTACAATTCGGATGCAGTGGAGACACTCATTTCGCTGAAAGTACCAGTCAATGCGAAAGACTGCGATGGGAGTACGGCTCTGCACTGTGTGGTCGATGAAGAAGAACTCGAGCACAATTGCCGGCGACGACATGACTTATTTTCGAAGGAGGAGAGTCAACTGGCTCAAAGAAAATGCCTTGCAGCGCTATTGAAAGCGAGGGACCTCGACGTGGGCATTGTGGACAACTTTGGGTGGACGGCCCTGAGGTACGCGTCTTTGGCCGAGGATCCACAACTCTTTTACCAAATCGACTCATCTCCACAAGGTGTATTAGCAAACCCGAGGAGAGTTGCAAAGCTGAAAATAAGAGAGGAAATTTACGCGGAGTTACCATCATCCCACGCATGAGCTGGCAAAGTCGACCGCAACAACTACGCAAAGAGCCGAGAGGGAGAGCCCCAACACACTCACAACTTCGACTGCCTCCCAGGCCCCCCCCTCTGCCCATCCGCCACATCCCCCTTCTCGCCCTGCTTCCGCCCATCCTCCACCTCCAAGCTGATCGGATCCCCCAGCTGGCTCGGGTTCCCCGCCCTGCCGTCGAGCTTCTCCGCCGCCAGCGCCTTCAGCCGCCGCGGCCGCCGGCCCGTCACCGCCGACCCGTCCGAGTTCTCGCCGCCCGTCGGCGCCTTGCCCTTCTTCCCGGGGCGCGCGGCATCCTCCTTGCTCTGCGACCCGGCCCCGGCGTTCGTCGACGGGGGGTTGGCGTCGGCGGCCGTGGCCCCTTCGGCGGGCGTGCGGCCGGCGCCCGACGTGGAGGAGCCGCGGTCTCTGATTTCTTGTTCGGCCGATTTGGCGTGTGCGCTGTTCTTGCTTGGCTTTTCATTTGTTAGTCTGTTTTTTTTTGTTTTTTTTTTCCGGGTCTGATTTTTTGGGGGTACGATGATGTCTGCGATTGGGATGATGGGTAGGTGTCTGTGCAGGCGACGACTTACCGGCGCCATGATAACGACGATTTCTTTTTCCTTCTTGTTGGTTTGATTTGGTATCGGTTTCGCAATGGCTTTCACGAATTGGCAGTAAAAATAAAAACCAGATTGGAAACAATTGCGTAGGGCGACGGGTTGATATGTGACGCTCAATCCGGGGACGAGTGTCCGTCATCCAGACAGGCCATGACGTGCATGACTTCCCCCACGGTCGATGACGAACGTGGGCAACCCCCCAGATCGGCTTCGCGCACGCAACATGTGAAATCCGATGACAGGGCCAATCAAACTAGCGTAATCGATGCATTCGTCTTTTCTAGTGTATCAACTCTATCAATGCCGCAGGATGATCTGCGCTTCATGCCGATGCTGGCCTGCGATCCATGCCGAGGTATCTAGTTCTACAATAAATCAATCAAACAAATCAATCCCCCAAACTCCACTCTGGTATCATGCGCTGTGCTCTATGTTTTCGTTGCTCGCTTCTCATCCCTGCGGCTGATCTTTTTCACCACAGCTCACGCTGACGCGGAGACGGTCCTGCCGACAACAGGCGGCTCAATCTCAGCCTCCATCTGCGGCGCCGAGGCCTCGACATCAGCGACCTGTGCGCTGACACCCTCGCCCGCCTGCGCATCCGCCTTCTTCTCGTCGCCCTTGCCAATCGTCTCGACCCAGTGCCAGCAGTCGACGATCTTGCCGTCGCTCCGCAGGAAAATGGCCCTGTCGTCCGTGACGCCGTCGCTGACCTCGCCCTCGCCCTCGCCCTCACTGCCACTACCGCTGTCATCCTTTTCGGCGCCGACGCCGTCAACGAGATCGCCGACCCAGGTGCGTGCGACAGGCACGCCGTTAGCGCGGAGGGCCTGCAGCTGGGCGCGGAGGTTGACGCGCAGCGCGCGCTCGGGTTCGACAGAGTTGAAGATGCGCTTCGTGAGCCAGGGGAAGAGGATGCCAAAGTCCGACTGCGAGAGGTGGGCGGACTTTTCGACGTAGAAGAAATTGGGCTCGGGCAAAGCGATGCCGTTGTTGCGCTGGTAGAGGTCGGCCGTGATGACCTTTTTCGACGGGTCGGGCGACAGCACGCGGGCCGTGACGTGGAGGTGCTCGGTCCACTTGTAGAAGGCGTCCGACTCGACGGCAAGGAGGGCCTTGCCGCCGGGAGCTGAGGGGACGTTGGCGTAGGCGGGCAGCGGCAGGTCGAAGAGGGGCGCCGAGTTGGGGGCCAGCAGGGGGAAGCACCACATGTCCAGCAGCATGGTGACGTTCTTTTCGGTGATCTGCTTCGACAGCTCCGAGTCGGGGGCTGGCGTGAAGAGCGGGCGCTCCATCTTGGCGAGAGCCGGCGTGCCAGCGTAGTAGGTGCTCTTGAGCAGCTGCACGATCGAGGCGGACCCAAAGCTGTGGCCGGCAAAGATGATGGAGCCGGGCTCGTGGACGTGGAGTTTTTTGGCGAAGAAATCGAGAGACGGCGTGCTCTTGTTGAGGTTCTTCAGAGGCTGGGCGCGATCAATGGCGAGAATGGCGGCGTGGGCAAGACCGAGCTCCCACAGGCGAATGCGCAGCTGATCTTCTCGTGCTGTGGAAATCTCGGGTGTGTTGTCGTGGGGCAGGCGGATGTAGGGGACGACGCGGCGCGTGTTGCGGATGAAGTAGCTGTCCTGGGCCTGGGGGATGCGCACAAAGGATGCGACGGCACTGCCATCGCGGTGTTCGGGGCAAACGACAACAATGCCGTGGGAGGCGAGCGAGCCGGCGACGACAGAGTACGTATTGCGGTTGCCGCCGAGGCCATGGGAGAAAATCATCGTAGGCCATCGGCCATTGGGCGTGTTGGGCTCGAGGAGGTCGGCGTTCTTGAGGGCGGGAATGGTCGTGTAGTGGAGGTGGCGGGGTAGGAAGCTGCGATGATTAGCTCGGCGCTCCAGCATCATTAGAGCGGCTCCAGCATCATTAGAGCGTGCAGAGAGGGGTCGGCTTACGAGACAAAGTCGGCCAGCAGGGGCTTGATGCCGACAAACTGGGTGTAGGCAGAGACATGGTGGCGCTGAGGCGAGGGCAGCCAGCTGATGGGTTTGCCTGCCGAGTCGGGGGTCGCGGGGTAGTAGATGCGGCAGGACACGGTGTAAATATCGGCAGCGCTGTCGGGTGCGGGGCTCGGTGATTCGAGTTCGGAGACGGGGATCTCGACGTCGACGGTGCCAACTTTGTAGGGTCCTGTGTAGTCGGGAAAGGTAGGCACGGGATTCAATTGCGACAGGTAAGCGCTGAGCTTGGCCGCAGGCGAGGATGACGAGGGCATGATGGGCGTTTGGCGATCCAAATCTGATGTGTGATCATGCATCCTTGGGCGAGCAATAGGCGTTCAATCGAATACGATGGCAGAAAAAAAAGGGATTGTGGGAATGGCCTCAATTAAAACGGTGACGAGTTGGCCTTGTTTCACTTGGACCACGGACTTGGCAAGACCCCGAGTGCGCAGCAGGCAGCGACGGCATTGAGTTGGGAGCCAATGAGAAAACGCGCCGACGCAAAAATGGCAGTCGTGTGGCCACTTGCCCATCTCGTCGAGGCCTCGTTGCGAAAACTGGGCGTCATAGTCACAGCAGCAAGTGCCTCGGCACCGCGCTGTCCGATTGGTTCTTGTTTGCTTCAAGCACGACAGGTACCTGCTGAGTTATTTCATGACTTTCAGAGATGCAGACGAGATGGATTGGATCAACAATCAACAGTCTTCCAGTCCAGAATATTCATCAACAATGCCTTTTTGATGAATGAAATGAATAGCATTTGCATGTGATTCCCATGAACTGCAATATATTATTACATCAAACTCATCACACTCCCCGACACCCACTCAACCCCCACTCAGCGTCCGCAGCCAACAAGGCGCCGCCCACGTCAGAAAGTACCCGTTGGCACGTGCCAGTGCAAACTCCCCTTTCCCACGACCCTACGGTCTGGCGAGCACGAGGAACAGTACAGCTTGAGTCTTGGCTCATCTGTAGGCCCCGGATGCCCACTGTGTTTCGCCCAGAAGCCGGCTTGCTGGGTTGTCTGACGCCACCATTGTCTTCCACACGCTACGCCTCCGATATGGCATGCGAGGATCAGGTATGCTGGTAACATAAGGCCATGTTCAAGTCGTAAAGCAGAGCAGCTGACTGGATAGTATGGGCGGGTAAGATAAGGTTGATACATTGTCGTACTTCTGCAGCTGCGCACGATGGAGCTGGGGTCTGAGTACGGTTCGACAGCTGGAGCATAGGGCATGGCAGTGGCCAGCAGTGCCAGCCACTCCTTGCGTCTACATGCATTGGACGTACCGACTCAGGTAAGTACTGTAGTACCATAGGACCCAGATAAGGCTAGGCACTGTCTTCACTGTCGTCTCCCATCTCAACCCAAGTGTCAAATCAAAAATATAGCATCCAATAGCGAATCTGTTTCAGGCTCACTATACATAGCTGCCAGCCATGATAGGCAGTTCTGGAAAATGCAATCGCCACTCAAGGCCCCGGTGAACTGCTTGGAGCAGATTATGAATAGCACAGCATCACGTGATGTCGCGCTGTGCACGCGTTCCAGACTCAGCACAAGTTACCCCACTCACCTGGTTTTCCTTTTTCCACCACCATGCACGCGTATCACCATCGCCCTCCCAGCAATGCGCACGCCCGATGCCTCGATACCAATCGCTCGCGCAAGCCGAGCGCGCCGCCCTCAATGGCGATGACGAATCACAGGATAGCCAGCATATCATGGCCCTCTACATCCAACGCTTTGGCGTCGGCCAGGTACGCGGAGACCTAACCCCAGCCCGATGTGACACGACGCGACAGGGAGCCCCAGCCTGCCCACAGAACGCTAACCCGCTTTGAGCATCAACCCCTGCAGCCCGGCAGCTCACCAGTGCCGTGCGAGAACCAGGAATCGCGACTCGTCAATCGCGGCGACTCGATCGCGTCACCACAGCCTGCCGCCTTTATCAGTGCACCGGAGAACGCAGAGCCTGAGGGTCTAGGTCTGCCGTTGCTCAAAGACGAGGCACGCGCGGCGGGAGAACGAGTGCGCAGATTCACTGTGACCTTTCTTTGTCGACGAGCACTGACTGACGCCAAACCAACAGGCCCGCCAAGCGCCCCGAGATCCTACGCCTGAGCCGACGTCGGAAGCCTCAGAGCTGCACACAACCGCCGCGACGACACCGCAGCAGCCTCCTCTCCTGCTAACGACAACGCCTGCACTAGTGAAGCCTTTATCGGCACGTCTAGACGACGGCTATGCACGGAACCTCGACCTTCAATCGGCTACGAACGATGCTCCGACACTAACCACCAAAACACCAACATCTCGAGCCGACCCCGGCGAGACTCCATTTGACACGTCTACGAAAATCCATCTGAGGAAACCCAAGATGGACACGTCACAATCGTCTCCCACACAGGAGAACGATGACCGCGATTACCGAAAGTACGAGAGCCATTCGCAAATCAACACTAGCCCCCAGTCGACAGCTTCACGGCGGGACGATGCAGCAATTGAAGACGCTCCTCTCGAGCCGCAAATGGAGGAGGGAAAAAATCTCGACGATGATGAGACGGGCGCCGTCAACTTTGGCAACTTGGGCCATCTCTTCGACCACGACATGCAGGCGACCCAAGAATCATCTCCGATCCCCTATGGCACCGGTCCTCTCAACACGCGAGGCGCCTGGCGAAGGCGCGCCTCGAGCTCCCAGAATCAATCCTCCATGAGGCGACCCGAAGGGCAGACGCCGTACAAGACGATGCCCTGGGCACCAGAAACACCGGCGCCGCCCGCGAACCCGTTTGCCGGTCTTGGCAATCTCGGAGTCCAGCCTCTGGCACCGTCCCAACTTTTTGGGCAGACGCAGGGCATGTCGTCGGCTTTCAAGGGTGGAGATAGCCCGACGTCCTCGAGACCTTCACCAAACTTGCCCCAGCATCTGTCCATCTCGCCGAACCCGATTGAGACATCGCCACTCAAGCGTCAATTCAACATCACTTCGCCCACGGTCATCCACACATCGAGCCCCCAAGCTCCCAGTTCGGCAGCTGATCACTTTCCCGCTGAGACGCCAGCGCCTAGTCGTTGGGTTGACGAAGAGGCCGTCGCTGAGACCCCCGTTGAGCTGCCCTCAGGCACGCTGCGACGCCGTGTCGAGCCCATGGCACACTACGAGACGATGAAAAAGTCGCAAGAGAGGCGGCTCAGTGGAGACGCCCTACCCCCAGTGGACTCGCAGGACGATTCAGACGATGCCCTGGAGGCCATGCAACGGAGCAGGAGGGCCGCCATGAAGAAGAGAGCAGCTGCCGAGCAGCTCTCCGGAATAAGTCTTCGACGGACCATTCCCAATGACGATCCCGATATCACTCCGCGGCCGCAAAGATCCCAGAGAAGGGCACAGGTTGCAATCGCACCAGACGATGAATGCGAGGTTGCGGTGGGGAGCGAAAACGAGGAAGACATATCCACCGTCGCCGATTCTCAGGACCCTCTCAACGTACCAGACACGGTCAAAAAGTTCATAATCACAAACGAGCTGCCCATGGAGAACCACGCCCCTCTGACGGCCCTGGATTCTAGTGTTGAGGCTATACCAGACAGTACAGAGGAGACGACTCACAACAAAGCCGGGAATCCCTTGAGCGTCGACACGTCAGACACGAGCTCAAAGCAGAGAGACCGCATTCCCGAGACGAGCCCCGTCAACCGACCTACGACGCAGGTCAATGTCGCAAGTCCTGAGAGAGACTTGGCACTCGAGGAGGTTTGCGAGGATCCTTCGCCCGCCCCTATGGACGAGGATTCACCTTTGGCAACACCCGACGAACCACGCCCGTCTTTGTCTATGCCTTCGCGAAGGTCATCTCGTAAGAGCCGCCCGACAGCCAAGGCAGCGGCAACAGACTCCAAGGCCAAGCCGTCCCCTTCTGAGCCGAGAGCGGGGCGGGAAGTCAAAACTGCAGCAGCAAAGTCTGGCATGCTTCGCAAGTCTGTGCGTGCAACCAAGAGCAAGGCTGATGAGCCGAACATTCAGTCAGACCCGTCTGTCGTTTTGGATTCGAGCCCCCAAGTACGGAGCACTGAGCCAGCATTTGACCTTCCATCTTCGCCGCCTCTGCTGACGCCGCGTCTGCCTCGCGGGCCTTCAAAACTGCGCTCGCACAACACAGTGGACCAGAACCCGGCTACGCCGGTGGCGCCGGAGTCCTCTGTCGAATCGGCGCCGGAGTCAACTTCAACCCTCAGCACCCTGTCTGTTACCCCGAGCTTGTCGTCTAAGACCACGCCAGCGACGCAGCAGTCCGACCAGGTTGCGCACACGTCCCCTATGAAGCCAAGAAGTCGCCATCCGAGGCCGAGTCTGCCGCCGCTCAATACTGCACCAGTCCTCTCGGAGCGCGGCAAGAAACGCAGTAAGAAACAGACGCGAAGATCGACACGGCATGACTCTGCGTCAACAGATGAACTCGCTATGTCACCGTCTGCAATAGGGTTTGAGAATAGTATGGCTCATCCTCCCAAGGCGAAGAGTCGAGCTGATCGGCTGTCCACCTTGATTAAGGAATCACGAGCGCCCGAGAGAGATCAAAAGCTATTCAGCGGCATGGCGTTCGCCATCTCGTTCCAATCGAAGCGACCGGGCGAAACTACGGAGCAGTATGAGGAGCGCTTGTCGCAGAGCAACGATGTCGAGAAGAAGATACTCGAATACGGCGGCCGGCTGCTTTCAAGCGGCTTCGACGAGCTCTTTGACGCCCATGCCCTGCGAAGTGCGGCAGTCAGCCCTGTGACGGACGAAGAAGAAGAGGCTTCACTGACCCTGGCGACCTCGGCCCAGACTTTGGGTTTCACGGCGCTCATTGCAGACGGACACTCACGCAAGGTCAAGTACATGCAGGCCCTCGCCCTCGGGCTCCCCTGCATTTCCGATCGCTGGGTGACGACGTGCGTGGAGAAGCAGAAGGTCGTCGCATGGGACCCGTACCTACTCTGTGCCGGCCAGTCGTCCTTCCTGCGGGATGCCATTCGCTCTCGTTACCTAGCGCCGTACCCCGCGACCGACGCCCGTCTCGTCGACGTCATCGGACGCCGTCCCAAGCTTCTTCAGGGCAGTCGTATCTTACTGATCATGAAGAAGTCGCGCCAGGAGGACAAGAAGATGCCGTATGTCTTCCTGGCGCATGTGCTCGGCGCCTCGCTCGCGCGGGCGTACAAGATGGACGAGGCGAAACGCATGATGCGCGAGAAGGAGCTTCTCGAGGCGCCGTTTGACTGGGTCTACGTTGACGAGAATACGGGCACCGACGAGGCGCTGTTCATGACGGCGCCGCCGACGCAGGAGACGAGGAAGAGGAAGAGGGTCAGCGCGGCAGGGGACTCTGCGCCGCCGCCCAAGAGGATCCGGACGCTGAGCGATGAGCTTGTGATTCAGAGCCTGATTTTGGGCCGCATGATTGAAGAGGACGAACTCGAGGGGTGATGGTGGAAAACAAAAATGTACGACTACAGTGCTCCGAAGGACTTTTTGGGAATGGACTGGCGTTTTGGGGTATCGGGGTCATGATACCAGATGCTTGTAGGGCAGCAGACTACTAAAGGACTGTAGGGATAGATACAGTCAGGAGGCATTGAATTGAAGCTAACGACGTGTTGGAAACCCGTTCCAGGAACTCTAGAGACTTTGAAGGCTGTGAGGTATTTTGGCGATGCAAGCAGGTTGAAATAATCACAATATGATGTCGGCCTCTTCTTGAGAGAGTAGTCACAGCCTTTGGCTTACAAGTGACTACAGTGGTCTTGCGATACGTGAAGGGCGGTAGATGTTCTTTTAAGCAAATACAATAATCAAATCTACTCTAAAAAATGATCTCGATTCATTATGCCGTGCTGCTAATCGTAGTCAGTATCTTCATACTACATGTGTTTGCCCGAACCCGAGCCTCTTCCCGTGGAGTTTGTGAGACATTAGCACGAGCGGGTCAACGACAGAAAGCCCATGTATGCCGATTCACATTTCGGGCCGTGAAAATGCACGATCGGCCAAACCACCCCCCCTAGCGTCAACCATGTACGTAAACGACATGCGCCGGCCCCTTCGTACGCCCCCACTCCGCATTGTTTGACAGATCGAACTCCGCACCCATCGGCTAAGATCTCAGATCCAGCCGGGGGAAAGTGAGTCCGACATGGACGCAGGTTAGAGCCTTCGAAGAAGTTTCTACCGTCAATAGTAGCACAAAGTGAAGCCAATGGATCTTATGCAAAAAGTATAAATGATAGCTAGCTGTCCAATTTAAGCAGACTATATTATATCGTCGTTCCTTGCCATTTACATCGCCAATATACACACGGCACGACGTATACCATTCACTGTTCCACTCGTCGCGAATTGTAAGATGGCTGCTACGAAGGTTGCGATTCTGGGAGCCACGGGCCAGAATGGCAGCTCCATCGTTACTGGTCTGCTTTCCGCAAGCCACAACTTCGTAAGTTGTCCACCGCAATTGCTCGTAGGAAACTATCGCTTAAATGGTCGCCGAGTGCAGGATATCACGGCCCTTGTACGGCCCTCTTCGTTGAAGAAGAAGAAAGTACTGGACCTCGAGAAACGAGGCGTCAAAATAGCATCCTTCGATATCGACGGTCCTGAGGACGCCACAGTATCACAGCTCCAGGGCCTTGATGTCCTCATCGTGTGCTGCATCCTCAACGAGGTGCCTCTGATTGATGCAGCTAAGAAGGCAGGAGTAAAGCGCTACGTCCCATGCTTTTATGCTACGGTGATGCCTCGGGGCGTCCAGACATTACGTGACAACGTAAGTGGCCATGGTCGTTGCAATTACTACCATTGTTTCGCACGCCAGGCTGACTCCTGATGCGTCCATACAGAAGGAAGCCTTTATCGACCATATCCAGCGCGTGCACCTGCCCTACACTGTCATCGATGTCGGCTGGTGGTATCAGATCAGCCTCCCGCGCATTCCATCGGGTCGACTAGACCGCAATCTTTTCCTCTACAACACTGCGATCGGCGGCGATGGCAACGTTCCTTCCGCCAGAACTGATTCGAGGGATATCGGAGCATATGTCGGACGCATCATCACGGATCCTCGCACTTTGAATCACAAGGTTTTCGCGTACACAGATCTTCGCACGCAGAACGAGCTTTGGGACACTGTAGCGAAGCTCAGTGGTGAGACGATTGAAAAGAAATACGTAAGTTTATGACATTCGGAGACGCAAGGTAGGGCCTCTTCACGCACGATATCTGACATGGCTTGAACGCAGCGCACCGCCGAGGAGATTGAGGAGGGCATAGCCACAACCAAGGATGACCAGATGAAGATGATGGACTACTTCCAGTACACGTATCAAAAGTCCTACGACATCATGGGCGAAAACTCCCCCGAGTATGCTCGTTATCTTGGCTACCTGATTGGGAAGGATTTGTATCCCGACTTCCAGGGCATTTCTTTTGAGGAATTTGTCCATCATACGCTGGAGCACGGTTTGGAGCCCATGTACGAAGAGTATGGAGACTTGATTGGTGCTACGAGCTCGTTCGTCTTCAAGGGCGAGGCCGCCTTGCCCTGACAGACGACGGCTGAACAAGAAGGAGACACGTCTCTGCGCTAGACTTTTCAGAACACAAATCACAAGACTTGCATTACCGGGTTTACGATCCCAAGCTCCCTACTATATGCAATCAACACGCACTGCCTGCTTCCACTTTTGTGATGCTTGAGCCTGTGCATCGAAGCTCAACCGCGGCGACTCCAACATCGTCTGTCCAATCCCATAGTCTCGCCATCTTCTAAACCCCTTATTTATCTCATCAATTCAAACTTCATGCCTCAGCAGACAGCCTACCCCGCTTATACGTTCCGCTACTGGCGTGGTGCTAAGGTGGATACCAACGGCAAGTGTACGGGCCGCCTGCAGGACACGGATAAAAGAAAAGCTCGTAGCGCGTGGGTTTGTGGCAGCGGACTTCATCACCTCAAGCATGGAGTCATTGAATGCTGCGCACAAGTGTCTACGGGTGCACATGTACATCCTTCACACCGTCCTGTCGCTCGAACTCGGCAGTGCACGACAGCTTACCCTGCGACGCCAAAATGTCGAGTGAACCCCATTCATGCTCCGACTCGCCCAATCTCGACCCTCGTAACCTTACCGACCAGATGTCTATTGATGACGCGGGGTCAAGTAAGCACCTGCGCCAAACTCAGGAATTTCCAAGAACGGAGACAGCTCAGCCCAGGGTACCTTTACCACCAGACGAAAATCTACAATACTTCATTCATGAGAAAAAGGCTATGTCTGATGCCTGCGTATGTTCTCAATCATTTTCTGAACCGAATTGCCTTTATTACGGCTTTTGGCTCACATTTCCAGTCACAACTCAATCCATGGAGCATCCACGAGCCGGGTTCCCGAGTCGGCTCGGTCGTCGCCAGTTTCAAGGAGTTCCCTGCCCTTTTCGCTCGTCGGAGCGAAACGCCCTTCCTCCATCGCCATCTATATCGCGCCCACACCCCGCATGCGATACTCACCGTCTACTCAGCCGTTACAACGTACGCTAACTGTACGGACGCCAACCGAAGTTGGGCCATGCGCGTGCTCTGTGAGGCCGCTGATGAGCTAACGCGCCCGCCGCGTCACAGCCAGGGGAACGGAAAAGAAGCTGCACAGGCTCCGAGCTCGGAGACGGCAGACCTGACACCCCTCGACAAGCTCGCTCGCACCCAAGCGCTTCTCATTTACCAGCAAATCCGCATATTCGATGGTGACATTGGCCTGCGAGAGCAAGCAGAGCGTGATATTGGAACTCTTGAGGCGTGGCTAGAAGATCTTGAGACGTACCGCGATAACCTTGCCGAGTTGTGGCTGCTCGAAGAGAGTATGTTACGGAATAGGCCACCCCAGTCCTGGGAGAAGTGGATCTTCGCTGAGTGTGTGCGACGAACTATCTGGCTCGGGTACGGGTTTATAGGTCTCGTGGCCATGCTTAAGACGGTGGGAATAGGGGGCACACCACTTCCCGGACGTTTTGCGGCTGTACACCGGTGGACTGCGTCCAAACATTTGTGGGAAGCCGATTCGTCTCCTGCGTTTATGAAGGCGTGGCGAGAGGAGAAGCAGTATATTGTGCAAAACCTCTCCATCCAGAGGCTTCCTGGCTCTATCAAAGCTACCGACACAGACCACATGATCAAGCTTTTACTTGCGTGGTAAGTTCGCATCAAAACGACTCTCCCGTTGCTGTTTTTGCAGGACTACTGGCGTCGAGAATGCTTTGTTGTATCTACTAAATGAACTCTAGGTTGTTGGGCCCTGATGAGATGGAACAGTGGGTCAGTACGGGCGGAACTCTTGGTGAAGCTTGGAGATGATCGAGCTTCTGCGGCAGAAAGCGCTGCATCCGCACTGCTGCAGATGTAAACCCGCCACTAACTGATGGGTATATGGTCTAAGCCATGTGAAAGCTGCTTCTAGGTAAATACGCAGCTCCTTCCTTGACATATTCATGACTACAAAGCTTATGTGCCAAAGTAGCATCTATGTTATTGCTTGATTTGGAGCAGAGTGAAGAAATCTTCCTCGCGTGGTCCACAGGCAATAGAATATAAGTGGGGGGTCGGAATACATCTGAATATTGGCCCTCCGCAGCTTGGAAGGCCATCCGCGGTCCTCATGTATACGTTCTAATAGCCCTTAGCCCCCCTGGCTGACCCCCTAATTGGTAGCTCCGCGGGGCCACCTGAAAATCTATGTATGGTACTGCTGTTTGAGGTCCCCCGCCGATGCCTCTTACCAGTTGAAGCTGGTTTGCATGGGGTTTCGGGCTTTATAAATAGCGAACCGCTCAAAAACCATCGCGCCACATCCGGCTATCTGGTGCAAAATCACGTTTTCTCATTTGCCGCGCGTCTTGTTACAGTCTTACTGTTCTAGATGAAAAGATACGCCTCAGCTCGGGAGAAGTCTTCCTACAAGTCGTTTACGCGGATCCCCACGAGAGCCGGGTCATGCTAATTGAACCTCGGCTTATTTAATTCCCTCCTGTTAACTGACGATTTGTTCGACGGTTGTTCTCCAGGTGTTAGAGGTAGACGCGCCGGAGACATAAGAAGAAGACTCAGGTAGGCACACAAGCTGGCAATGATAGCGGTTGACATTGACCAAGTTATACATAGTTCGGCTCGAAATAGGCAAAAAACCATGATTCATAGGAAACTGCATGCGAAAGGCGGGGAAATCTGTAAGGCATGGTACGAAAAGCGCTCCAGCTCGAAAGGCGCTGGAAACGTTGCGAGGGTTGTCACCAGCTACGGCAGGATAATTTATCCTATAAACTGTTGTCGCCGTAGCATTGAACGTCTTGAACGCCCCATTGAACGCACATGATGACTTCGGTTTGTAGGAGACTCTTAAATCGTAATATGGAACAAGGCTTCGAGAGGCATGCTTGGTTGGAAGCCTCGTGGAGATTGATTCCTACCAATCGATCTCATGACGACATGTTTTGCGTCATCAATTACGCCCAGACACTGTTTAGGGTTTGGATTCTACGCCTTCGGCTAAGAACGACCTGTAACGCCGGCGACAAGATGTTCAGCTGAAGCAGAGCGAGTATTCCATACCGCAGTAACAGTTAGTCCTGCTCTACGCAATGGAGACCGATTTAGAAGGTATTCCTTGCGGAAACTATGTTGCTTGCTGTGTCCTGTTGAGACTAAATACAGTAGCCATGGCGCAGGCCATGAGGAGTGCCATACGGCATGCCAAAGTTACAATGCCATGAACCCTTGCTCTCAATCACCTCCTAATATGACCTGCATCTCCTAATTCGTCTTTGTCAGGCTGTCTTCCAGTTGACGTGATTTCCAATATCTATAAAACCAGATGCAAGCTGTCATTGCCGGGTTCCAGAACAAGTAATCAAAAATCTTCTCTAGAGCAGGCTTGACTGACTGTCTGCCATCACATATATTAGCCACACCCGATTGGTAGTTCAGAGCGACCATAGTGCCTACTTCCATTCGCTTATCGCAATAGCACCAAATTGACAGGCTGCTTCAGTCCTCGTCATGGCACGGCATCTTACCGAGACTCACACAGTCATCGCAAGTACAACTGCATCTTGGGCACGACCGAGCACAAGAACAGGCGTTGGGGAGATGCGCGCAAGCCTGGCGGATCCGCAACCCCCAGACAGGTTTGTCAGAGACAGCGATGGCTAACAAGGGGCAAAACATGATGACAGTGCCGGTGGAAATCTTCGTCGTTGTTGAAGTATCATATGGTGCTGAAATACGAGGCGCTGGCTTGAGAAATAATTGAGATTGGTTATCATAAGTGTCGTAACTTCTCCTCAGATAGGTGGTAATTTTATATCGGCTCATGTATAGTGAATTTTCTCAATGTGCCGTCTGCGATGCTTCTTGTCGTGGGGTCTTGTCTTGGGCTACCGCTCGCTTGCAGCCAAGCTCTGGACATGTGCCGTGCTTGCACGCGTGTTGACAATAAAATCTTGGTGTCTAAATGACCGAACACGTTGACACCACAGTCAAAATTCAATGTAAATGAGAAAACATAACCCTCATATCGTTCAGCCCCAGATCCTGACCGGAGCCGTTCTTCTGCCTTTAAGCTTGGTTAAATCACTGGCGGGCCGCTCATCGACTCAACTGGCTCGAGGCACACACCACAGAGAGTTTCACGCAGCAGCGTTGCATCGCATCAACAGCTACCAAGAGCGACGCCCACGTGCACGACAAAGGGGCGTCGATTGGACGCGCCAGTGCTCCGATCCCCCAGCAAGCTCAGTGGCCTTAGTGCCTTGGCGCTCCGGCCCCTCGACGAAAGGCCGACCGATGTTCGACGGCAGAGAGAGCACACGTGCTGCGTCATGGGCTTGCCATTCAACCACGGCCGCAATTGATTGATCGACGCCTGCAGGTACCGTGGGCGGTGGCGGGGGTTTGGGTCAGCGCTCATCTCCAGCGTGCCATGGCGTCGTTGAGAGGTGGTCGACACGGGCACGAGGCGCGAAATGACGGCGGAGGGGGAGATCTTGGCTTGGGATGTTGCTATTGCTATAAGGCTGACGGTCCTTTGGCGATTCGCTTCTTTTGAGGATGTCTTTGCAGCCTCACGTTTGAAGACAGTATTAATCGCCGACAAAATGGTCGCCAGATTCCTCGCCCAGGCCTTGCTGCCAGCCCTTGCTGTTGCCGGTACAATTCAGCGTCGCGACAATGGCACGTTTGACTACGATGCCCTCTCTCTGCGGACGGTCGGTGGACGCAACACACTCGTGCGTTCTCTCCTCTTGCTATTCCTCTTCTCGTCTGCAATAGAACGATACTGACGTTCGCGCAGGATTGGCGCGTGTGGCTTGAGAAAGACGGCCATCCCATCTCGTTCTGGCACGACGTCCCCTTGTACCCGGACGAGGACAATAAGCAGGTCGTCAACTTTGTCGTCGAGATTCCGCGCTGGGAGGACGCCAAGATTGAGATTCGCCGCCAGGAACCCCTGAACCCCATCTTCCACGACGAGCGCAACGGCGCGCCGCGCTTCGTTGAGAGTGTGTGGCCGCACAAGACGTATCCGTTTCTTTACGGATCCATCCCCCAGACGTGGGAGTCGCCAAATTTTGAGCATGATTTCACGGGCGAGAAGGGTGATAATGACCCCATTGATCTATTCGACATTGGCCTCGAGTACGTGCTATCGGTCTTTCACCACTTTCACGATTTGGTACTGACAAGACAGCATCGGTTATGTCGGACAAGTCAAGCAGGTGAAGCTGCTCGGTGGGCTTGCGCCCAACGACGGGGGTGAGACGGACTGGAAGATGCTCGCCATTGACGTCAATGACCCCATTGCGCCCCTCGTCGACAGTAAGTAAGCGAGCCAGCCTCGTCCTGGCAGTCGATCTAACGCGCTGCAGACTACCTCGACGTCGAGAAATACCGCCCAGGCACCATCCAGGCCTTCCGCGACTGGTTCACCTACTACAAAGTCGCCCGCGGCGGCGACGTTATCCCCATCATCGGCGAGACGTACCAGAACGCCACGTTCGCGACGGCTGTCGTCGAAAAGGGCCACGAGTACTGGCGCGACCTTATCTCGGGCGCCGTTGACTCGAACAGCATCAACTACAACCAGACGAGCCGGCCTGATATTAAGGGGAGCTACGTCGGTTCGTGCTCGGCAACGCTGCAGCTGGGCATCCCTTCCAAATCGGAGGAGAAGCCAGCAGCGGCGAAGCCTACGCAGTATGAGCACTGGTATTACCTCGATGAGGATTTCGCGTTGATTGAGGTGCCTGTGTAGGTCGATAATAGATAAAAATAAGAGCGTGCTTTTACCTTTTCGATTTCGGAACTACGAAACGGAAATACTTAGTGTCAAACCCAGAGATTCAGGCCGAATTTTGAATCCGTTGACATGAATTGGCATCACAACATGCAGAGTACAAGGTTGGCAGGTATGTGGTTCTTCTCAGCCCTCACAAGACTAGGACTATTCCCTACGAACTCGGCTCCAGCATGATGTAGTCCTTAATGACAGCTGAGCCATTGCGGAGTGCGGCAATCTGCCTCGCGCTGCACGTGCTCGTGTCCAAAATATAGCAGTAGTCAGGATACTGCTCCGGCACCTCATTCTTGACACCTAACACATCCGCTGGGCCTGACGTCGAGTAATCATCCTTCACCGCCGTGTCGACGCGCCCCGTCGCCAGATCACGGTTGAACAAGGCGCGCATGAAGATGCGGTACGCCGCCTCGGGCTGGTACGCCGGCACGGCGTGGCCGGCCTGGTAGACGCGCGCAAACGACAGGTTGCCGTGCTGGCGAATCTGGCCGGCAATCTTGGGCGAGGCGCAGCTCGTGCGCAGCGGCGCGTAGCCGGCGTCGGCAAAGGCGTCGCTCTGGCTCCAGGGGATGGCCAGCGATGCTGCCTCGCCGCCGATCCAGTTGCAGGCAAAGTCGCGGTCGCCGTACATCAGCGAAACCTTGACGCCGTCGTCGAGCAGCTCGCCGAGGTCCTCGATCCAGCCGGGGCGCGGGTAGTCGCCGATGCCGCGGTAGGCGTTGGCGACGGCGCTGCTCGAGCCGGTCCAGTTCAGGGGCACGCCGAGGGCGGCCTGCACGTGCGGTTGGTTGAGGTAGGCGGCGTAGTAGGGGTCCGGGAACAGTGTCGGGTCGACCTGCGTGACGTCGTAGTAGTCACGGCCCGACTGCTGGATGTACGGGTCGCGGATGTAGCGTGAGCAGAACGTCTCGGCCGCCTGGCAGACGCGGTTGACGTTGGCGTTGATGCCGAGGTTCTCCGGGTCGTCGAGGCGCGCGAGACGTTGGCACTCGTCAATCTGGTCGGCGCAGCCGCCGGGGCGCTCAAAGGCGTCAATCATGCCGAGGTACGTCGCCTCGTCGACTGTCGCAATGCCGTACGTATTATTGTAAGCCATGGTTGCGTACGACGGCCACTGCACCTTGCGGTCGATGCATCCGTTGACGAGGAGCAGCGTGTCGAGGTTGAGAATGTAGTTCTCGCCCTCGCCGCTGTCGAGAGTGCCGTCGCGAATCTTTTCATTTTGCTCCTGGAAAAAGGCCGCCAGGGCAGGGCCGTAGCGACCGCCGTACGACTGGGTAGCGATGCTGATGCGGTCGTCGTTGGGGTGGTAGCCGGGGAACTCCTGAAACCAGACCTGAGCAAAGTGCCACAGAGAGATGGCACCGTTGCGGCTGCCTTGAGAGGTGGCATCACGGTTGTTGCTTGGGTACGTGCCAACGTGGAAGGTTACGTTCTGCTCGGGAATCGGGGCACCAGGAGGGAGGGTCTGCACGCTGCCGAGTAGGTTCCTCGTGACGTTCCTGAGGGTGTCATACGAGAAGCCCACCTGCACAGGCTGGTCGATGTAGAGCATATTGACTGGACGAACGTCAGTCGGATAGCTGCCAAAGCGAACAGCTTCATAACCTACCCTCGTTGTTCCACGACCAAGGGTTGAGCCTTGTCGTGTTGGAGTCTGGGTTAACGAAGCAAGGGCCATTCTCATAGAGGAGGCCGCCCATGGACGAGCTGCCAGGGCCACCGTTCATCCAGATGGAGAGTGGCGCATTTTCGGGATCCTTGCGGGCTTCGAAGAACCAGAAGAAGGTGTTGACGGGATAGGTCTGCTCCTGGCCAAGGCCGTCAATGTGACCTGGGGGCAGATGGATGTAGCCCGAGTACGACTTGACCCCAGGGGTTGTCTCGCAGATGCCGGGCTTTGGCGTGTCAGTGAATTTTTAAATAGCTGATTTGTCATTGAAGGCTCACCTCCTTGAAGCTGATAGTGATGTTCTCGTTGAACTTGGACTTGAGCACAGTGAGGCCTTCGGGTGTAGGAGGGAATTGGGCGACGACGGGAGCAATGAGAGCTCCAGCGACCGCGAGGACAGACTTGAACGATGGTGCCATGATCTCGATCAATTGCCACTGTTCAAGATGAACAAGTCCAACCAACAGAGTGGTAGAAATACTAACTATTCTGTCCTTCCGAATTGACCACCACGCTCAAGAGGGGAAGGCTCAGGACGACACACATCTTCACTGACTGACCGGGCGGCTCCTTAATAAGACATTCATTCCAAGTCGTGCTTCGAGATGCTTGGTCATTTGCGGTTTTAACCGCCGCCGAGCAGATTTCTACTGCAGCTTGCTCCTCGGTGTACTACCTTCCCTATTCGGACTGCATGGTCGATCATCGTGATCTCTTATCGGCAGGTGTGGCACGTTCCCTTGCATGGAGGGTGCTTCACCTGGATGATTTGCACATTTGAAATTCTGAGGATGCTTGTGTTTTTCAAGATGCGATTGTCGCTTCCAATAATGAACGCCTCTGTGTGAAACTGGTGTCAATAATCGCCGAGGCTGAACCTACTCGAGTTGCCCAAACATGATGGCCAAGAATGATAATTCTCTTGATAGAGCATCTCAGGATGCAGTGCTATTTTACCTCACGTTTTTGACATTGTCTACTCTTGTAGGCAAATCATAGTCTCAACGCTTTTCGGAAGGTGTCTAATCGATGAACCGCTGTGAGCGGGGAAGACATGCGGCCGAAGAGGGGCAGAGTCCGGCTCAACGCGGGGTCATGAACCGGGGTCTCCCGGATCGTTTCGAACCGAGGCCGAAAACCTGAGCACCGCTGTGACCCAAGGCTGGCCGTATGTCAGAGCGTTGTTTAGAGCAGAGTGAAGGGGTCTTCCGCGGGGTCCGCAGATATATTAGAGCGTTATTTAGAGTAGAGTGAAGGGGTCTTCCGCGGGGTCCGTAGATAGATAGAATATAGGTATAGGATAGGAATACATCTGAATTCTAGCCCTCCGCAGCTTGGGGGGCTATCCGCAGCCTATATATACGTTCTCTCCGGGCCCTTAGCTCCCTAGCCAGCCCCTTAGCTTGGCAGCCCCTTAGTGGCTCCGCAGGGGTCCTGACACCGTAGGAGATACTCCGGGATCATAAGGGGATTTGAAGGGTCATCCTAGAATCCTGTGTGCCGGCAAAGTGAAGGGAACACGGTGCTCACTATGAGCACTGGAAATTGAAGAGCAGTAACAGTCTTTTCCATTATGTCTCTCAAGTCTCCAGCCTTGATACTCACATCCGTCTAGAACTACAGTCGCTTGAGAAACTCGCGGATGGCCCGCGACATATTGCCCTCATCGTAGCCCACCGCGGCATCCAGTATGGTCTGTGTATGCGCCTCCTCCACAGCTGCAACAAACACGTAATCTGCATCCGGGAACTGCGCAGGAACATCCGTGTTCCTGTCGACGACCAGATCTGCCCCCCTGAGGTGCACCTTGCCGAATGCAACGTTCGAATCCATCAGAACCTCAGCAGTCCCCGTCAAGACTATGGCCTTCCGGACGACAGGCTTGCCTGTAGTAGGCCTGAACACACTGTTCCACACTTGAGCAGAATCCGGCGCGTCTATTAAGTTTGCCCACGGCTCGTCAACATTAGGCGCAAACCCACACTTGAACAGCAACGCCGCCGGGCGGTCCAAAAAGTCCGTCGCCTCGTTCGTGTCGAATGACGCCTGATCCGTGGTCATGGCGATCCACGGCGAGATTATCACAGCGGCCGCCAGCTGGTCGCCATGTAAATTAACCGGCAGCGCGTATGGTGACGGTACGGCAATGTGCGCCAGCAGCGAGGCAATGAGGTGGCCGCCGGCACTGTCGCCCATGGCCACGACTTCCGAGGCCTTAACGCCCTCAGCGTCAAGCAGCGTCTGGAGACCGCTCGCGGCCTGGACGAGCTGCGAGGGATACGGGTGCCGTGGTGTGAGCGAGTATTCGATGAAGACAACCTGCCTTGCACTAATGGTCTTTGCCGCGCGCAGAGCCATGGGAATGTGCCCCACGACTGCGATGGGGGCCGCATAGCCGCCACCGTACGCGTAAAAAATGGTCAGGCCAGTGGCTGGGGCGCCGGCCGGCGTGATGAAGTGCAGGACGGCAGGCGGGGCTGCGAAGGGCTGAGTGCCGGCATCCGAGACTGCGACAGAGCGCAGGGAGAGGCCCTTGGCGTGACAGTACTCGCGTATGAGATCACCCGCCGATGTGCCGGACGAGCCAAAAGTCCGCTGCCTTGATGTCAGGAGAGCCGATTTGGACTGCAGGGCGGCCAAGGCGAGCCGCTGGCGCCAATGCAGGTTCTGTGCTTCTGGGGAGAGCTTGGAGCGCACTACGCCAGAGAGGAACGTGAACACGGCACGGATGTCTGCCCTGCGTTGTTAGATTTCTTCGCTTCCTCCTGAGAGTCTCCTGGATCAAGGGATTGAGAACAGTACGCACAGATGAGACGCCTGCGCCATGGCATAGTCCTTACCTCCCATGGCGTCAGCTCAACGCTGTCCGGGGGTGACGAGTCTGATGTCATGTCTGCTTGCTGGTCTCCCTCTGATCTCGGTAGCAAAATCGCACAAGACGAAGCGACTGGCAGGCGTGCAATTGGTGCTCCGACGGTGGACGCGCATAGCTTTATACTGCAGCCAACACAATCTGCGTGCCGAGGATGTGGAGAAGGCTGTTTTGAATCGCGCTAGTACCCCAGATTGAGCTTGGTATAGATCGGCGCAGGGGTCCGCCAGCGGGCCGTCGGGCGGATTCGAGGACGCGCTTTCGGCCGCTTCGACTATGAAGAGCGGAGCGGTCCCGATGAATTCGCGAGTTCTGAGCAGCGGCTTCTTTAGAGCGGCTTCTTAGTCCCCCCATACGGTCTGTGTCGTAACTTTGGGGCGGTTAGCATAGCCGGCGAGCCTCGGTCGCAACACGAGCCGATATTGATTGCTGGAGAGATGGGGGACCAGATCTGAAGTCTTCGTCTTCTGCATGACGCATAGAAGGTTTTCATGGCGCTCACGAACATGGAATAGTCGACGCCATCTGATGATGAATGGGTCTCCTGATGCTACGTACTCAAAGGCTGGTTTCTGATCTGCGGTCTACTTCCTACCAATGTTAATTACATCCCGTGTCGCCGGGCCGTCCTCGATGCGTGTTCCCCGCATGGTTTGCCAAATTCCACATTGAGGGTTCGTTTTTCTGATGTGATTTCATTTATTATGTCTTGGAATATCATCTGAACTAATCTTAACGCCTGTTGCGTATGAGATTGATAGGCAAAGGTGTCAAAGTGACAAATGCAGCATGTTGGCGCTACCAGCCTTTCCCCATCAGACCGCGATCGCCCGATTCGAATCCTCACGGGCAACCTCCTTCCTCTCAGTAGCAGTCGCGCCATCCCCAGAGACCTTCCGCCCAACGCACCGTCCAGGGTGCCATGCAGCAAATAGCATGACGGCCAGGACGACGGGCGCAAATTCCAGTACGCCAAAGTACACCTCATTCGTCTGCAGCTCCCCACCGAGACCCTCTGCTGTCTCAGCCAGACGGAAGATCGTCCTCAGGTAGACCAGGAGCGTCGCTGCGCCAAACGCCGACACGAATGCCGTCAACCCAGACGCGGCCACGGCACGGCGTGCGCGCCAGACGAAGATGCCCGAGCTCATGACGAAGCACCCCATGGCGAAGACCTGGTAGGCGAGACCCGCGAGCAGGATGTTGTTGGCGGTGGTCGGGTCGTCGCGGTTCGACTGCGAGACGCCGATGAGGGCGGCGCCGGCGACCTGGGTGATGGTGGCGATGACGTCGCTCGTGACGAAGAACCAGAGCACAAATTTGGGGGGTAGTGGTGCAAACTTGCGGCCGAGGCGGTGGATGAGGGCCGAGAGGACGGTGTAGATGCCCGCCGCGAGAAAGACGGGGGCCGTAACGATGAAGAAGTAGTTGAGGATGAAGTAGATAAGGTTGTAGGGGTTCTTCTTGGCCGAAAGGGCGCGGGGGACGTAGCCGACGACCTCGAGGACGAGACCGATGGGGAAGGTCAGGAAGTAGTACGACTTGTAGCGCAAGGACTGCCAGAGGTGTACGATGGCGAGGAGCAGGAAGAGGACGGCGGCGAGGACGGCGAGGGCGAAGGATGGGGTGTAGCCGTAGATGATGACAGGCGTGTCCCATTCACCTGTCGGTGGAGGGAAGTTGGGGTCGGTGTGGCCCTCGATGGGTCGGCCGCCTATGAAGGTTAGCTGCCTGATATGGTCGCTGTAATCTTCAAGTGCGCAAGTAAAGTATTACCATCTGAGTCGCTCATCTTCAAGACTGTATGTATGTGACGATGGTAGCTTTCGAGCTGGAAAAGGTGCCAATGGTACACCACGTAGCGGGATACGCCCTAACAGGCTGCTGCTGCTGTCTGCGCCGGACAACGTAGGTTGCGATAGAGTTGACTATCAAACGTTCTTTGAAGCCAAGCTGCCTGTGCCATGGCGGTTGCTTTAATAAAACAAGCAAGGCGTGGGGAAACGTCCCTGAGATCGAGTCGTCGGTTCAAGATCTTGCAAATGGTAATTTGCTTTGTCGATCGCCCAACAGCTCGCTCTAGGTGTCCATGTGGCTTAAGCCTAGCGAGTCCCCTGCGCGTCCAATCCACTTGGTCTTATTGGCGCCTCAGCTACGGCGTGGGTTCACCCACAGAGTCTATGACGATGCTCTCCGAGGCCCCTGTCCCCGTGCTGATGGTCCCTGTCGCCGTCCATGTGGAGGTGGGTCGAGTAGGGGTCAAGGTGCTACTCCAGACGTAGCAGCACCCTTTCCGGCATGCATCGCCTCCGTAGCGAGAGAGGATTGAGGTACGTCTAGGCTGTGATTGATACTGTACTCTCGGCGATATGTCTTTTCCATCGTCTACGGTACGCGAAGCGCGTTTGGCAATGCTTCTTTGGGTACTGCATCTCTCCCTTCACAATCTGAAGCTGCCATGGCGCTCGTACAAATTTGCTGTGAAGGCTCTTCTTGGTCCACGAGTCAAATTCCAGATTTAGATCGGGCCCGGCCCTCGGCATACTGAGAAGCCCGAGGTGCGGGAAATGAGTGGGTCCTCACGCCGACAGCACCACTCCTCCCATACGGAGCTCGCTCCGATCCTCACGGCGAGCTGACTATTCTCTCATCGTTATCATATGTTGTGGAGCGTTCACGTTGAGAGTGAACTGCTTCGTCAGTGATTCTCGTGTCATCCATGAGCCCATTTGAAGATGAACCGCCTCGTTGGTGGATAGCCATCCAGCGGAGCACCGATGGCCGAGCGCCGATGGATGTCTGTGAAATGCAAATACCGTGCCGTTATTCGAATCGGGTAAACTGCTCGCTTGCATATTCATCTTGCTTTTCAAAGTCGAGGGTGAGGACTCTCTGGATTGAAGCCCAAATGCGCCCTGGCTTTCTTTCGGGGATTTGGGGTTGTCTCACGATTTGACCGGCCTGTTGTCTGCTTCGGCTCCCGATACGAACTTACCATTCATATTCCATGGACACGTAGCCCGACTGACTTCAGACTGGTGATACGCAAGGGCTTCAATTCCGATGCTATCAAAAAGACGAGCTACGCCGCTCAGCCCTTTTTTCTGGGTATTGCCGAAAAAGCATGAGGCCATGTTGTCGTGGAAGAGGCACGCCGCCTGATATCTGGACATTGTTCAGTACTGTCTCATTCAGCAAGGAGGCCTTCCATGCCAATAGGAGGAAGACTTACAGGCTGGCGATGTCTTTCAAGAAAGCCACGTTCTCGACGTAAGCCATGTGTCCACTCGGGCGGAGCTTACTAGCCGTTGAGAGGACTAATACGTCCCTCCGACCGCCTCGCCGCCATCAGTGCTCGGTTCATTTGCTCCCGCGAGAAGCAGCATGTAACGGCTTTGATGACTTAAATAGCCGCCTCTCACTGCCCTTCCCTTGGTGTAGAGGAGCCCTTGAATCGAAACTCGTCAATGATCGTTGTAAGCAAAACGGGAACCAACTCCAGAGATGGCATTGCAAAGCTAGCAAGAAGATCAATGGATCTTCCATTTCTCATGCATTCACAGAGGGCCTCGAATCATACCCTGTCACCCTCGGCCTATCCCGTTCCTCGACGAGGTCGTACCGAGCCAGGCGTTAACGTCAGCATCTTGATGAAACATGGCTGCGCGTTCACCCGTAGGACTGCGGCTTCTTGTCAAGAAACGGAGTTCTGATCTGTCAAAAGTTCAGGTGAGTTTGGCTGTACTTGTGCTCAGTACAGCCTGGGCTGAGACTCCATGTTCGGCAGCTTGACTTTGATGATCGGGCAGGTCTAGGCTTGAGACCTCAGAACGGGTAAAGACCTTTCGGAATGGCAATGGGAAAGTGGGATCTACCCGTAAGCAAGCTTGGCGTACCTGGCCATTGAAGACGTTGCGAGGAGTTCAGTTCATGAAGCAACTGTGCGGACCAGCCGAGGCAAGCAGGATGGGCACAGAGCGCTCCTGCGCGAAAAGAATCACCACAAGACATTCAAACATAGGTACAGCTAGGGGGACGCATCTGCCACCCTGCAGCGGTTGGACCCCTGGCGCCAGGTCGCCCCTGCCGGCGGGCCTAGCAGGGATCAACAGGCACTGGAAGCGTCGCTGGAAGGTGCGCTGGGCACCCCTACCTGCCATGCGCTCCGCTGCAGCTGCCAACTGGCCTCCAAGCTTTGGAGCTCCCCACCTGAAGCTCCTTCAACCAACAGGCCTTGCCTACGTTGAAGCTTCAAGTTCCGGGAGGTTTCCTCCTCCAACAATGATCAATCCACATCATCACCGACAGTGTATCGCAACCGCCGCCAACACGACCAAAACATTTCCGAAAAATTCCATCCCGAACAATCCAGCTACAGAAGCCAAGCTCGAACAGCACCCGATTCAAATATACCCATGCCTCCTCTTCCCTCCGAAAATGACGACTCGCTCCCCCGCGTCATCACCTATTACCAGACCCATCACACTCGTGATGGCAAGCCGATATCCATCCTACCCATCCTGACCCAGCCAGGTATTGCCGTCACCCACGTCATTCTTGCTGCCATACACATCAACGACGACCCGTCGGCCATAACACTCAACGACCACGCCCCCTCCCACCCCCGTTTTCAGACCCTCTGGGCCGAGCTGCGCGTCCTCCAGGCGAGCGGCGTCAAGGTCATGAGCATGCTGGGCGGCGCTGCAAGGGGCTCCTACGCCAAACTCGACCGCGACGAGGTCACCTTCGAGACGTACTGGACACCAGTACGAGATCTCATCCGCGCGCGCGAGCTCGACGGCATCGATCTCGACGTCGAGGAGTACATGAGCATAGAGGGCATGATGCGCCTCCTCGACCGCATACGCGCTGATTTTGGACCCAAATTCCTCGTCTCCATGGCGCCTGTCGCTGCTGCTATGCTCAACCCCGAGAGGAATCTCAGCGGCTTCGACTACGAGATGCTCGAGCTCCTCAAGGGCGACCACATCAACTGGTACAACTGCCAGTTCTACAATGGGTGGGGCGACGGCAGCAACTCTTTCATGTACGAGATGATGCTTGCCAAGGGCTGGCCGCAGGAGAAGATTGTCATGGGGCTGCTGACGAGCCACGAGAACGGCAACGGCTGGGTGCCGTGGGAGTCGCTCGGCGCCGTCCTCCTCCGGCTCCGAGGCCGCTACAAGGCCTTTGGAGGCGTGATGGGCTGGGAGTACTTTAACGGGTTGCCGGATAAGGAACGGCCCTGGGAATGGTGCCGCTGGATGACGACCATGGTGCGGCCGGGCCGCGTCGCGAGAGCCACAGCCGGCATCGCAGCGGTAGCAGAAGAAACGGCAACACCAACAACCACGTTGTCTTCTGCCGCTGAGACGAGCATCGTAGCCGCAAAGGTGCAAAAGCAGTTGGTGGACGAAGCCGACCCTGACTCGCCGTCTAGCAAGGACGCACCGCTGCCTGCTTCGTTTGAATACTTTTCGGACTACGAAAGCGATGGCTGAATGGAGACACGGCCCTAGAACCCTTATCCGCGTTTCTCGATCCTGCCAAACAGAGTTTCACGGGCGTTGGCCCGAATCGAACCCGCAATTGTGACATCCCTCAGTGGGTGTGTCGGTACTACGGCCTGGACCCTTATTTGGCTTCTGCCTTGCCCGGCGGTGTGCCACCCGACAAGCATCTGTCGCCTTCGCTGGCCGCGGCCTGCGGGCGCCGTCAACCTTGTTCGCGTGGCGTCCCGACGCGCATGGAACCAATCGATCTGGAACCGGCGGCGGATGGCCAAAGGGTCACCTCGGGTGTGCTAGTGGGCAGCATGCGAACCCAAATACTACTCGAGCAATGACTTCTTCCGCGTACACAGACGCATTCTTGCCCTGCGTCTTTTTCCTCTTGGCGCCACTCGTGTGCAATTGGGCCGGCCTGGGCGTTTGCCAGATATTCGCTCGTCGTCGTCACAAATGGTACGGCGGACCTAATGCTACCCAAAAGTCCCCCGCCTCGTTGAGCTTTGCTGGTGGGTTTGGAGAGGGTTGGGTGCATCAAAAAGGAGGGGCAAAAGGGGGTCACGGACTGGATGGACGCATCTGTTGCTGACGTCTCGCCCAGAACGGCTTGGCGCAACCCACCGTGTCCACGGCTCTAGCCCGCCAACGGAGGCTTCCCGAACCATTCTTTGACACAGTCGAACCCAATACCCTGCCGTAACGACAAGGGGGGCAGGGTCGTGCACCGCCTCCCCCGCCAGAGGCTGACCTGACCTTGCATCACTGCTCAGGGTCCAGTGGCAGTCGGTCAACTTTCAGGAACCGAACAGCGTCTCGACTCGCCTTACCATCCCGCGCCAGAAAAACCATCCTTTGATCCGTCTTTTTAGGTTTTTGTCGGCCTCGTAACGTCTCATCTGTCCGTCATCCCGTCGTCGAGTTTGAACCTCCCAGCTTTAACATCGTGACGAGCCTCGCCTCACCTTGTCGCATTGCGGTTCACGGAAAGGAAAAGCTCATCAAGCTTCTCGCCACCTACACGCCAGTCGTTGGCCTGCGGCCCACTGCAGCCCATGGAGGCCTCTCGGGTTTCCGCCGCTCTCGACAATGCAACCACAGCAACACTGTCTGAGAAGCGCTCCGAGAAACACGCAGAGGAGGTGACAACGGCTCCGATCATCTACGCGGATTATCACAGCCGCAAAAACCCCTATGCCTCGCTACTTTACTTGCCCATGGAACTACAGTTTCTCATCGGCTCTCATCTCGACTATGGCGACTTGCAGAACCTACGCTGCACCAATCAGTTTTACCGTCAACTCATCGACATCAACTTTGTGCGAACATGTCTGGGCTCTCTCGCAACCGACAATTCGCTACGTTTTGTCTGCCGCAGTTGTCTGCGCTACGACGGCACCGGCCGTCGGCTGCTGTGGCCACTCGCGCCGTGTGCTCAGCCTGCGCCGTCCGACGGTGAGGTGTCAGATGACGGCGCGTCTATCGAGGCCCCGCCGGCGACTAGCATGACCTACTGCCCCGATCCCAGCGTCCCACTTGCCGCGAACTGCGCCGACTGCGCCGTCCGCCAGGGCCAGCTTTGCCCCGGCGAGTATGTCCTGACCGAGGGTGGCGAGCGTAAGGTTCGCGTGTGCCGCTGGTGCGGCTGGCCTTGCACCAATGACCCCGCGAAGGAAGAGTACTGGCCACGGTCTGCCCGTGAACTGCATCCGCGCTGCGCCCAGATTTACCAGATGGTCATGGTAGGCTACTACATTCTGGTGTGTATCCGGTCCGGCATTGCTTTCGTCACCTATATCCTTCTGTGGAGGTTATTTGCGGACAACCAAGTTGTTGTCGTGCCGAGTGTGGTAGGTCGCTTGTTGATGGTTGATTTTTCACAACTGACGTGACGCAGATGGCGTTCCTTCTCATGGGTGTCATCCTCTTTATTCTCTGGCTGCGTGGCCGTGAGGTTAGAACATATCATATCGTTGGCAGTCTTGAGTTCACCATCCTGGGTCTCGGCATCCCGCCCCTCTATGTCATGATTAGAGAGATGCAGGCCGAGTATGATGCCGGCAAGGTTGCTGCTGAAGTGTTGCTTATCATGCATCTGTAAGTCTGCTGAAGTCTGGCATCACCCGCTCGTGCTAAGCTTTGTAGCATCATCCGCTTGATCAATGTGCTGGGCAACATTGTTCTCTTCTTCGAGTATGATGTGACGAAACATCACGCGCCGGGCCTTTCACCCTTGCGACGCCATCTTATCAACCCCCTCGTCGCTGGGCTTGTATTCTGGACGTCGCCTCGCGCGTTGGAGAACTTGTGGATCGGTCGCGGGAAGCATTCTCGCCACAAGTCATTGCGCCGGGGGCTAGGCAAGTTCCTCAAGAACGCGCAGAGCGGTCTGGGCGAGTTTTGGTTGTTCCAGGGCAGAGAGCCGTCCGCTCATCCGGCGACACAGCACTGAAAGCCCGTGTTGGCTGCTTTGGTTGCGCGATGGTTGGCTATGTTGAGTTCAAGGCGCGGCGTTTGTGACGTGAGGTTTGGAAGGTTGGTTTCGGCGTTTACTGGAGTGTGTTTTCATGGTACGATATTGGATGTTTGTCGAGATGGTCCCGACATAAGGAAATGAACCTTCATGACAACCCCCCCGGTCCCTCACGCCCATGTTCTTAGCCGGTACTAACCCTTTAGTGAGAACGAGGGGGGATATTGGAATACTGGTCAGATGCACCACCCACGGAGATGAGAAAGAGACACCATCATCGATGTGTTGAAGCTCCTCTTCTCAGCTGAATGCAACATTCGCAAAGGCCTATCACCGACCATACACAGATTTATCTCCTCAGACGCTCTTCATGCAAAGCCTATCACCGTCGGTCCTAACGACTTTGTTGGACGCTGCCTCCGATACAAGCAATCTGTGTAGGATTCCGCGGCCGAAGCCGGCGCATCGGCTCTCGGAGCAGCTTTCGCCGAGAGACTGTCCATATGTCTCGTCGGCCATCAGCTCATATTCTCGCATTGGGTTGTTCGTCATGCGGGATTGCCCCGATTTGTGCGGCGAGTCATCGATGTTAGGGAGAAACCCTCGGCGGTATGATACTGCGCTCGCTGGCCGACGGCGCAGGACAGCGTCGGTGAAAGGGGAGCTGGGCCAGCGAATTGCTTTTTTCCGCTGGGGCTACGTTTGGTAATGCCCGTCAGAGGGCCCACTGTGTTCTCCACGCCGGAGAATCTCACATGCGAATCGAGCGGCTTTATGACCTTGGGTTTCGGCGATAGGTCGTGTCAGCACGGCTTTCACAAGAGAGATGGTACTCTGAAGTATTGTCTGTCGGGTCTTACAGCTACTTGTCTGTCGGACTTTGGCTCAACCGCGTCGGTCTTATGCCATCGGAGCTGCCATCGGCGGCTTTTCTGTGGTACCCCGTTCGGCAATTAGGTGCGTTGGCTGACGCGAGTCAGATTGCCGACGATGCCCTCGTGCCATTCCAAAGTATCCGGATGCTACCACAGTCACGGCACTTGACATGTCCAAATATGCGACTATCAGATTGGCAAAGCCCGGCAGATGAGTTGAGCCGCAGACGGGGGCCAGAAAGTGTCGTCGAAATCGATTCGGTTATTTCCCAACGCCAGCCGTAGGTATCATGTATCGTATATGCATGTAACAACCACCATGCTCCCGGCCCAGTCTCCTTAGCTGTCCATCCCATAGGACCAAATCTCATACAGACCGTCGCCAGCCTCCCCGAACCCTGTTCCGAATCCCCCAAATTGGGCTCCAAGCCCAGGATCAACGCTGCCCCCGACAGCGACGATATCTGCCCGTCCCACGAGCTCTCGCACCGCCGCCGCCGCCTCACCGGCACCGAACCCCTCGAGCACCTCGATCGCCCGCCAGACCGCCGCTCTCGCCCCGCCACCTACGGATCCGTCGCTGCCATATGCAGCAATGTACCCTGCGAGCGTGACTGCAGCGTTCCACGCCAGGAGCACCGGCTCCGACCACCCCATGTCAAGCGGACCCCCGCCTGCCTGCTGCAGGACGTGCGTCGCGGCAACGGCGTGGCGCGCCGCCCTCTCCGCTGGCGCGGCATCGCCTGCCGGTGGCAACAGGATGCTCGGCCGCAGCAGGGCCATGAGCAGATCGTGGTAGTGCAGATCGAGCAGCAGGCGCTGGCGCGTCAGCCACGGCGGCGCAAAGGCGGCGCAGTTTGCGCTTGGTACTCTTGGCAAGGCGAGCGATGGCGGCAGCGCGGCGCGCCAGGTCGTCAGTGGCAAGAGGTCCTCCTGTGACGGCGGCGCCGAGGGCACCGTTGGCAGCGGGCGGTGGTGCAGCCTGCGGGCGGCGAGGGCGAGGGTCACGGCGTGCAGGGTGTAGGAGAGCCGGGACGGGGCGAGGAGGTCGAGTTCTGCCGTCACGGATTCGAGAGACGGGTCGTCGGACGGCAGAGCACAAGTCGTCTGCGCGAGGTGGGTCGCGCAAGGGCGGCCTAGGCGGATGCTGAGGCGCGTGTCGAGGGCAAAGAGGCACCACCAGGCGCGGCGGTGCAGCTCGGCCTGCGGCCGCGGCAGGGTCGATGGCGGGTCAAGATGGAGGCCGAGGGCGTGGGCTGTTCGGACAGCCGAGGCGAGGGTCGCGTGGGCCGTGGTCAGGTACGACGCGTTTGCGAGGTAGACGGCTGACAGAAATTGGGACTGCAGCGTTGCGAGGCTTGGCGACTCTAATGACGTGGCGAGGATGTCTTGGGCTCGGTGGTGCAGGAAGCGGCCGGCGCTCGATGCGGGTTCTGACGAGGAGGTCTCAAACGAGGTGTCACGAGGGGTGGAGGCCACGCTGAACTGCATGCACAGGGCGAGCACAATGTCGACAAGCGCCGACGGCAGTCTCGCATCCGTCGAGTGCGATCCGGCCCAGAGCGACTTGTAATGCGCACGAAAGTCCGCCTCATCGAGCACTGGGTGAATGGTGTGCCACGAGCGCCAATACAGGTCGAGGAAGTAGACCTCCTGGGCGCCAGTCAGGTTGCGACCAGACATTGGGCTGCGATAGTGCTGCTGTTGCGAAAACTGCGGCTGCTCGACGTCTGGGCCTGTGCCATTCTCGAGCATGGGCTGGAGAAAGGGTTGGGGGACTACGCTTTTGAGGTAGCTGGTGATCCGGTCGACGAAGTAATTCGTCGACGAGGGACCGTAGAACTGCGGCGCGCCGAAACCACCAGCATGCAGATGGATGTTTGGGCTTGCACTGCTGGTGGCGCCACCGCCGTGCATTCCGAGGAGCGCTGGCACCTCCCACGAGCCGCTGACCGAGCTCGGCGTCTGCGACCTCGACGGACTCCTCGTCGTCGATTCGGCGGCGTCCGATGGCCCCTTGGTCGCCTCGAGCTGGGCCTCGAGGTCCTTGACCCGCAACCGCAAGCTCTCAATCTCGCGAATGGCCCGCGGCAGGGTGCGCACCTCGCCCATCTTGCCGCTGTTGCTGCACTGGCCACCGCGCGCCTCGCAGTTGCGACACGGCTGGTTCGTGTCGCATTTGATCCGATGGATGCGGCACCAGTCGCAGGCGCGGGCGACCTGACTTCGTTTTGGCCGGAGCACGCCGGGTTGTGTGGTGGTGTTGCCGGCGCCGCCGCTGCCGGTGGCTGACGATGATCCCGTGCCGGCGCCCACCCCGGCGCCGCCACCCGGTGTTGCCGAATCGCCGCCCTGGGACGGCTGGAGATCCGCAGGCCCCGAGGAAATGAAAGTAGTCGCTGGCGAGGTGGGCTCCGAGGCGTAAAAGGTTGCGAACATGTTTTTTTTTTCTGCCCTGTAGGACCCTCCCCCGTTTCTCCGACTGCACAGTCGTAGAAGGAATTCTTACCACAGCCCCAGTAGTAGTTTTTTTTTGTATGCGTGCTTCGGCTCTGTGGCGGGTTGGGGAGGGGCAGAAAGCAGGGCCTCGGCAGAGCACAGACTCAGGTACCCGGTTGCGCGCGGCGTGGGATGGGCGTGGGGACTCGGAGTTCGGCTTGAATGTGACAGGATCTGATCAGAGAAGTCGTCTTTAAGGGGGCGCACGTTGCGCAACGCCGGGGCTGACGCTGGGGCAAGGCGTAAGGCGGCGTAAGGCGTAGTAGGTAGGGTAGGTGGGAGGGCTTGGACAGCCTTGTAGGGCGATCTGGATGGCGGACCCGGCTCAATGATAGGGTCATTGATGGGAAGAGACACACTGAGAGAGGAAGCCTGAAAGGCTGAAAGGATGGGAAAGGGTGGTGCGCGTGTCTGTCGGTATGGTTGTGTGCGAGCGTGCAGGTGTGCCGTTGCAATTGCGTTGCGCCTCCCGATCGCCTTTCGCTCCCAAGCAAGAGGGCCGGGCCAGGACAGGCGTGTTCAGGCAGACTCGGACAAAAGTGCAACGAGGACCGGATTGGAAGAGAGGAAACAGGTGGTGGGAGAGGCGCGAGCCCGGGGGTTTTCTTACCACGTCCACACCTCCGAGGGACTCGACCCGACGCCGCCCATGGTTTTTTCCCCCTTATTTTTAGGCCCTGCCGCTGTCCCAAACGTTCATGACCGCCCGCTAGGCAGCAGAATATCCCGAACCCACATTGGTGCTCTCAAGCGACAGCGACAGCAGCCCAGCAGACAGCCGCGATGCGACCAGACGCAGCGTGAGATGGCTTCCCGCGTCCCCCATTGTGGGGCTGTATCAGTAACAAGTCACGACGCAGCTCGCAGTGGTACCACTCCGTCATCAGGGAGACTACCCTGAGTTGAACGAGTGGAGAGGGAGGAAGGGGGGTGAGGGGGGTTGAAGAACAGGGCGGGGGCATGGGGCCAACGAGAGTTGCATCAACATCTCGTCGTGACGCGCATTTTAGGCATGCTGGGCACGTGTTGGCGGTTGAAAGAGAGAAAGAGAGAAAGAGAGAGAGAGGGAGAGAGGGAGAGCAAGGTGGTGACAGATGAAGCCGCATTCCAAATCCGCCAAACACAGGTATCAATCATCCAGAGAGACTCCTGACTTCGCAACCCTCTCAGCGCCTCGCATCTCACGTAAATGCCCTGAAAAAATTCTACGTACTCGATATTCGGCGACACTTTGGAGGGCAAATCTGCTTTCATTGGTTTTGGAAAGATGTCAAGTATGGTAGAACGGTTCAGAGTGAGCTCACCTCTGAGGAGTGTGGCTTTTTTTGTGTTACCCCCTTGAAGAGGTCCTCATCCGCGCATGATCCGCCATTCTTGAAGCGCGCAAGCGGCGCGAGATGCCCCCCTGCACCCCTCGTAACCAGAAGGAGTCCCGGACCTGACGCCTGATCAGGACGCCAAGGGGCGTGTGGACGAGGGGACGAGGCCAGAGGGGGGGGGGGTTGAGGGGACGCTCCTCAACTCCGGGGGGCCCCCGCGCCCACTGGACAGACAGCCGACTTGGTGCTGGGTCGCGAATTGCTGTTCGCTTACCCTTTGACAAGCCGGGGTGCCGCTTGACGCGAAGGCGGAACCCACATCACGCTGCTGGATTGTTTCCCTAAACCGGTGCCTGGAAACCCATGTGCCGTGCGACTGGAGACGGACGAATGGCCCTTTTCTTGTTCTTGAAGGTTGGGCTAAAACTTTGTTCCATTCCTAGCCGTTCCCCACTGGCCTCCTCCCCCTCCAAGAGCCGCTGCCTTCCGTTGCCGGGCTTAACGAAACCGAAACCTTGTCGCGGCGGCAGGCTGGCTCCGGAACTTGATGTTGGACCAGCATTCACTTGAAAGGTAGGTAGGGAACAATATGCAGTGATCGTGACCTGTCAAAACCGGCCGGACGGGCATCGAGTTTCCGACGTATGTTGGCTCCACACTCACTACCATGTACATGGAGGCCTCTGCTCAATGCGACCCTGGGAGGGGGGGGGGGGCGTTCGGGGTCTGGAAGCGGGCAGCATGCAGCAAAGGGGTGCTGCGTAGGGCTTCCCTTTATGAGCCGGGCACATCGACGTCAGAACCGCGTCGAAACCCCAGAAACCAGACTTGATTCCGCACCCCCTAGTGGCTGCGCTTGTTTCTGCATCATGTCTGCACAGCCCCGAAAATACCTGGCCTGCCAGTGCCCTGCGCCAGGCGGATATTCATGCAGACTACCGCCTGTGCCGCTGGCTAGAGTCGCGGCTGCGGGGGGCGGGTATGGGACCATGGCTTGATGTGGTCTGCGACTGACGTGAAGGACGTCAATGGACTCGCCAAGCGCCTTTGCCGTGAGGATTCTTTCGTGTCTGGTCGCGTATGTTTCTTCTAGCGACGTCTGGAGGCTGACAATCAGCATGGGGATGTTCGGCTCCTCCATTTATGGACGAGACTCGGAGCATAACAAGGAGGCCGGCAGGCTTCAGATTCAGAGTTCCCAAGATCACCAGATCTCTCGAAAAAATTCGCCAATCATGTACGAAGCCTGCATGAAGAAACATTCGTGTTAAGACGTCTATTGACGTCACGCAGGCTATGACGATGACCTCAGGTTTGTCGACAGCCATTACTCCCTAAAACCGCAGTCATACTGAATGGCAGAATGCTTCCCTATGCCATTGGAGATCCTGTTCGCCGAGACATGTCCGACCTCTCCTCGTACAATAATAAGTGAACGACAACGAAAACATGTCCAACCGCTATTGAAGTTTCCCCCTCACGTACTAGGTAGGGCAAGCTGGGCGACTACTGCTACTCTCTCTTACCTCGGTATCATAAATAAAAGCGCGCGTCGATGACTTTTCGCCCGGACAACGAACAAGTCGCAATCGTGAGCACTTCAAAGTAGATCTGAGCTGCTTTCGTTCAGGAGTCTAACCAACTGCTTCTCGATACTTTCGGGATACAGGAGATGCCAGAGAAAGCAAGAAAACTTCTTGCGCGCCAAGAAGTACCGTCGGCACTCGACTCTTGTCTGGAAGGCCCCTACCGATGGCGCCCGATTCGTCGGAGAAGAAAGTCGCCAAAAGGCCAGGCTTGCTGAACCAGAAGAGGATAGCCTCAGGATATTGCGTCACGGCAAGTCTATATGTAGCATCCGTTCGAGGGCATCGTCAAGACGAATACTTACCCCGGGAAGCGGTTCGCATGAGCAGAGTGTATGAGGCACACTCGAACAAGTACCACTACTGACCGAAGTCGCATCCTAGCTGGAACTGCAATACTAAAAACGAAATCATCCATACTTACAGTCCGTCACTCGCGGTTCAGAGAGTACCATGTGGCAAGTGGTCGGCAAAAGAAATGTCACACCAAATGATAGAGCACCCCAATTTACAGTAGATCAACACTGTGCCATGCCTCCCTGCTACGTTGTGACCCTACTTTAAAGCCTTTTGGTGGGCCTTCTTTTGTCGATTGCTTGCTTGTGCGACAAAGGCTGATCGTTTGCCCTCCGACATGCTTCCCTGAAAGGTTCTCTTGGGCCTCAATGCGCCTGCGCTCGCTCCTCTTCTCCACCCCCAAAGCGTTGAGGCGACCATTGTCGCTCTGTTGTGGAACGCCTAACGAAAAGATCGGAGATATTACCATCCATGATGAATAACCCCAAACAAAGTTTTGCCGGCCGTTCTTCGTTGCCCAATATCCTCAAGAAGGGATCTTTGGGACGCGCCAACCGCTCGCAGCTTGCCTCTTTCACATAGAGAGTCAATTCCTTCTTGACAAAGCCCGAAGACCATCAAAATCATAGTCTGGCCTCCCAGAAGTGGAAGACAGCGATTACTTTCGTGCACCAAGACTTGAGCATGACGCATTCACTTGTGATCTTTTGAAACATCACGTCCACAGTTGCCGCACAGCTGCAGCGGCAGATCAGCAGCGATTGATCACGGATGGCTTTTATTTACGGACGAGGTGTTGCCATCTGATAGGCGAACCGATGTTCATATCTATGTGGTCAAGTTACAATTTTCACGAGAGTCGAAGATATCTGTACTGGGCAGAATTTCGCGTCTAAACACCCTATGATGCCCGTAGGCTTCTGTTCGGCCAAATCAGCGATCATTCTGTGAGTCTGGGTATGGGTCACTTGCTATCCTTCCGCGGTCACGGCAATCAAGGCTTGTTGGAGAATTGTTTTCCGAGGTCTGTCTTCGGAACACGAGTGTTTCCAACTCCATTGTGAGTAGAATCTACGGAGCTGAGCGAGCTCCTGATGACTGGGTGCGACCAAGCGACAACGATTTTGGGATCTGTTCAGCAGATGAACTCTCGTCCGATAGAGTATGTTCGGAGGGAAGAGTGATGGCGCGGTCGAGGGCGTAAGGCAGACCACGGTGACGACCTCGGATCATCATCGCGCAAATGACGACCTTGCTGAATATCGTATAGTGTCCCGACATCGAGACAAGTCCGCTTGGCCCGCCCAAAGAGAGCCCGACGTTGGCGCTTTGGCGACGAAATTAGCGGGACAACCTTCGCAGCCAAATGGAGGGAGACTTACTAGGCCGAGGTGACTTCGAAGAGGACGGCAAAAATAGAGAAAGTCTGCAAACGTGAGAATCGTGTCACACATGGCTAAAGAGTGACACGTACCGGTTCGGCAACATCCATGATAAGCGTCGACTCCGCGATGCAGATCAAGAATGTCCCTAAGAAGATGTACCACAGATCAAAGGTGAGTTGGTTTCGGACGTGAACCATGACATAAGAGACGCCGTTGTCCTCGTTGAGGTTCTCCTCCCTGGCCCAGATACCTATCGTGCGCTCCTCGTACGTGTTCGAGGCGCGAACGCTGATGGCAATGGGGAACACGGCGATGTACATCATGGTCAATAGGCTGAATTGAACAGCGGGGTTTACGTCAACAAGACTGAGTGTTGCCGTACCCGTGTGACGAGCTGATGCGGCTTGAAAAAGCGACGATAGAATTCGGGGTCCCATTGGCAGGTCGTTGACCGCTGGGTTATCGAGGTCGAGGACGATGATGAGGACAACATCGACAAAGTTGAGGACGACGACGATACCGAACAGAATCCAAGTCGGACGACTGGGGAAGAGCAGGGTATAGCATCGTCGGGGGTGGTCGAGGATGAACTGTATCGTCTCTCGAGTCTGGGAGTTCTTCGGCACCATCAATGATGTAAGCCAGATGATACAGCGTAAGAAAACGGGGTAGCAGGTGTTTCCCGCAAACGCCAGGAAGGTCATGACTAGCAAAGGCCATGTGGCATCCTTGAAAGATGCCATGGAATCAGGCGTTAGAGCAAAGCCGAGGTTATTGCTCATGGTTTGCGCTGAATAAAACGCCCTGAGTTCATGGTCAGTGGAAGAGCAGAAATATCAGAAGACTGATAACATACCACCAAGTTGCGCCAACCCCGGACTCTGCGAGTACGTCCAGATATTTAGATGGTGCATTATGGATCCAAGGAAGCAAGCAGATGGCGCCAAAGAAATGAAGCCCGAAGAAATACCCTGTCTAAAGTGTCAGAGTGTTGAGGTCATCCCAGGTTGCTGATCTGTCCTAGTCATGCGAACAGCCGCCAAGGGTATTTCGACATACCGAACACGAATTTGAGAAGAAGCTTTAAAGCGCGATATTCGATGCCGCCAAGTGTCTCGCGATCGGCCTCTGTCAAGTTGTGAAAGTTGGAATTTCGACCGACAGTTGCATGTCGAGAAAGATTAGGCAGATCGAGCTTATTGTTTGCACTGGCTCTCGACTTCGAAGTGGTCCGTCTCCGAGGCGCCGGACGAACTTTTCCGAGGATGAACGCTGACGTCGCCGCCTTTTCGATGGATGTTGCCGCGCTCAGGATCGTGCCTTCAGCATGAAACGAGCTCCTCCGCGACCTGCCGCTGCGAAATTCTGGCAAAGGTTTGATAGCATCTGGGTCCTCTATATCTTACATGTCAGTTGAAACACACTCGATGAAATCTGTCGTCGGATATGCCCTACCTTCAGTGTAGCTGCGGCGGAGGCCAGGCTCGATTTCAGTGATGGGTGCTCCTGCAGGATGATCGTGAGTACAAGACGGGTCACAGAGTCGAAAGGCTCGACGCACCTCTGTCGGACTCTCGTGGATTCGGAATCCTTAGAACTTGCTTTTCGGATCTCGAGTATCCACTAGCAATGGCCTTGTCATCAAATGTAATCGTAGTGGTTCTTTGTGGAGCAGAGAAGGGCGGGCTTGGTGCTGGAGCAAGAGCAGGTGCTGGTTCGTCAATGACAGCCGTCTCCTGGCTTTCTCTCCTCGTCGCAGGTCGTGCCTCTTCCTCATCATTCCTGGTCACTTCGCGAGCAATTCCTTTCGTTTGTTAACACCTTCACCATGCACTCGCTGGGGAAGGACAGGTTAATCGAGACAATACATACCAGCCTGCCTCAGTCGTTGACGGAACCAGAAAAGTCTCACTGGAACAACAATAGCATTGAGAAACATCATGTTTGTGATAATCGGAACAACGTAGAGGTAGACCTGCTGATAAGTCTTGAGATCTTTGACGTCAACCCTGTTTGCAGTGGTCAGCTCGCGGTCTCATTCAGAGACGAAGGAATCCCACGCACGGGTTGAGGCCCGATTCGGTCGAAGCACTGCATCCGAAAAGCAAGGCATCTTCGGCCGTCAGGTTGCCGTATGTGTACAGCACCGGAAAGGCTGACAGGCTACAGAGTAGGATCCAGGCATCTGCATGACGAATGAGCTCATACCACGACAAAGAGTCTTCTTCAGCGCAGCCAGTCTCCTCTCTACCTACAGTGTATTCTGATGAAGTTAAATCGGGGTTTCCACATGCCGGGCTTCAGGCTCGGCGACGGGCTAAAGAGCGGAAGAGAATAAGGCGCGTGGGCGGTTATCCTTCGGGGCCGAGACACGGAAGAGCGGGTGAACGTAGAGCGGAATTGCGCAAGTCTTGTCCGCGAAGATGAGGAAACAGATAGATACCGACCGGCAACAAAATGCCGTAGATTCTGCGACGAGACGAAAGAGGCTGAAAAGCACCAAGCACAATTTAGGACGACACGAGCAACAAGACAAGCTTTTGGTGCGGGGGTGCTGCCTTTGAATACCGAGGCCCCTGTCCGAGTACCCTGCCGTGTGGGAACCACTACAACGACCACATCTCGTGGGGGGTCAGGGGAGGGGGGCGACAAATGGAGGTGTGAGGGTGAAAGAAGGAAATTCATCGAGGCTCAGCCCCCGAGCGACTCCAAGCCTGGCCTAGACGGCCCATGATGGGATGTGAGCGCCAAACCACATGCGCCGCACATGCGGGAAATCATTCGGCTCAGAAAAGGACCAATAACAAACACTCGGGACACAGTCCCCCTCCCTCAAAGTCATGGTGCTGGCGACCAAACACAAGCGTCAATCTAGCTGGATCACCAAGTCAGGCGCCTGGTGCTGTGGCAATCAATGGTGGGTGCTCCAGCGATCATCCATCTTCCGAACCCCGATATTTTTGATTATCCCTCACCGAGTTTGCCGTTGACATATCACAAAACGCGACTTCGTTACGGGGAATCAGAGCAATGTCCCCAACCGCCCAAAACGGCAAGTCTTGGCGTGCGCCCGCCAGATGACCCATATATGACACTGGAACCGGCTTAGTCCCCGGCAACAAGTGCATGTTGCGTCCAAACCGCAAAGGGGGCTGTGTAGACCTCATGTCGGGGACGAATCCTCCTTGCCTGCCCGACAGATGACCGGGTGAAGCCATCAGCAGGGCGCAGGCCCTTTCCTGGTTCTCGTCAAGTCGCAGAAGCCCTGATGGCTGACTACACACTGACGTATCGGTGATTTGCTTCACGAAGTTTGGTTTCATCACGATTCAATCCGTCGGAGGCAGATGCGCCATGGCTCTAGATTCCACGTTCTCGTTCACTGGGACAACTTTTGACCTCGCAGTAACAGGCCTCGGGGGCTGGCTACTTGTTTTTGGCCCCTTCTCGTCGTTTTTCAAAGACCGGCTGTACCTTTCCGTCGCCTGTGAGTCGTATTCAACGCAATTTGCCTCACGATGACGATGGTATTTGACAGCAACCTGATTTCTTAACAGGCTTGTCTTTTCTCGCTGGTCTCGTTTTTGCCAGATCCACAGGTCTTGTCGAGCCCGTGCATTTCACAGAACACGGGAACATCGACGAGGTTGCCGCGACGACGCTGGACCTCAGTCGTATTGTGTTGGGCGTGCAATTACTGTTTGCCGGCGTGTCTCTGCCGCGACGATTTCTACGCACAGAATGGAAACCCCTCTCATTGCTCCTTGGACCTGGCATGGCGGCCATGTGGGGTTGCAGCACTGCCGTCATCTGGCTACTGGTACCAGGCCTGAGTCTCATTCATGCCATGACCATCGCCGCATGCATCACGCCAACGGACCCCATCCTGTCGGCTACCGTCCTCGAGGGCCGTTTCGCAGACCAGAACGTGTCGCGCAGTCTTCGCGATCTCATCATTGCCGAGTCGGGCGCCAATGACGGCCTCGGCTATCTTTTTCTGTTCTTCGCCCTGGACATTGTCAAGTACTTCCCAGGCAAGATCGCTGGCGCGTCTCTCGGCGAAGGCCAGCTCGGCGAGGCCTTGGGTTCCTTTTTCGGCAACACTTGTCTTTACGTCGTCGGTACGAGCATTCTCTACGGGTGGGTTGTCGGGTATGCCGCCAAGCTTATGCTCCAGTGGGCAAACAGCAAAGGACACATCGACCGCGAGAGCTTCGTCACCTACTCGGCAGCACTGGCACTCTTCATCCTCGGGACCTGCGGCATGGCTGGCGTTGATGATGTCCTGGCGTGTTTTGTCGCTGGCAACGCCCTCACCTGGGATGATTGGTTCCGCCTTGAGACGGTCGAGGACTCATTCCAGCATGCCATGGACACACTGCTCAATACAGTCATTTTCATGTGGATCGGAGCTAGATGTCCCTGGGAGTCGTTTTGGGCGTCGGACATACTTCCCTTCTGGCGCCTAGTTGCCCTCGGGGTTGGAATTCTCATCTTTCGTCGGCTCCCTGTCGTTTTAGCATCCTATCGACACATCCACCAGATCGAGGACTTGCGGCAGGCTCTTTTCGTGGGATACTTCGGCCCCATCGGCATCTCGGCCATCTTCTACCTCTGTGTTGGTCTAGAGTTTCTTAGGGGTCTTGAGACTGAAACCGGAGCGCACGGCGAGCTCAGACGCTTGAAAGAGCTCATGGTGACTGTTGTCTGGTTCCTGGTCGCGTTCAGTGTGGTAAGTCTACTCAGTGCGTCTTTGGGGTTGTCCGTATTATGCTAACGCAAACTACTTCGTCAGATGATCCATGGATTGAGTGTTCCCGGTGCGATCTTCGGGATGCGGCTGAAGCGATTCTTGTTCTCCCTCAGTGCATCTTCGTCTCAGGGTTCGATCACATTGTAGAACATTCGTGTGGACCAATGTCGAGAATCGAGCGGCCAAAAGCCTTTAACCATGTGTTGAAAAGACCCTCGCCCGAGTCATCAGCATGATACTGTTCATTATCTTGTGAGGCCCTCCGATGATAAGGCCTCAGAAGTTGATGATGCCGTTCCAACCTACGCAAGCACACATCCTGGCGCGGTGCCTTCGCCTTGACAAATGGGGTTCAGTTTAATCTGCACATTGTCGAACGCGTGTTCTGTTATCTCAATTAGGTATGAGTTGACAGCTGCATCAGAGCTGCAACTCAGCCTCTCAAGAGCCAGGAGCCAAGACATAACAGATGTCCAGCTTGTACATCGCTCCTGTTAATCAGTAATTTTTGCGGCCTCGGTGTGTGTTGCCAAGATGAGTCCTCAATGCGCAATGCTCATTGCTCGAATCTAAGAAGATGTCGGTGTCTCTAAAATGAATAAAGAAAGTGAAAACGATAGTGCGAGTAAATCGGTTGTCCATCATTGGTCATACTCGCCAGTCTCTATTTTCGTGGAGCACATGTTGCCTTGGCTTGCCTCCCAATGAGGGTGACATGGTCCAGCTTGGTGTGTCCTGGGTCGGTCGATTGGTTGATCATCAGACCAAACGTGTGCCGTGAAGTCTGCATTTGCATCAAGGACCATGTTGTTCACCCTTTTCACTGCGAACCCTGCTAATGTGTGATGAATATGTCTCAATGGTGAACGGGGTGGTAGGTTGCGTTGTCATGACTGATGTCGGCTTTGCCTCTTATCCACTTCGATACCCTTCAGCCCAGTCGCGGGATGCTACCACCACACCCAACCCTAGCAATATGGATTACGAATGGCTCCGATCCAAGCACATACGACCATACCTACTGGAAAGCTCGGGATCCCGTCCGCTCTCCCACTCGATAAACCAGTAAGGGCCGGACTAGTAGTCGGGTGGGTGACCACCGGCGAATCCCCGGTGTTGTATGTTTTTGCGTTTTTATCGACAAGTCTTGCCCTTTTGCAGCTGCCAGAGCGTCATGGCAGACTTATGCTGGCAGACTGCAGCTCAGTCCCCGCGACTTCAAAGGCTACCCTGTCCGGCAAAGCTTCACTTCGCATGCTCGACGGAAACTCAAACGCTTCTAAGGTTGACGTCATACCCTTGACGATCATAAAGTCTGTTCAGGACAATTCAATGGTTGCTCCATGGCCGATTTAAGATGCTCCTCGAATAGAGTACCTTTGGGACAAAATTGAACATGTTTCACTTCTATTGTTTGACAGCACACCCAGCTCAGCTTGTACCCACTCCAACGAGGTCAACCAGTTGTCTCCAAAGGCCCCACGACCTATTATCTACTTGAGCAACACGAAAGCTACCCGAATCGCAATGAAATGAACAAGGCCGGGATCTTGCTCGATGGGTGGACTATACGGCTCATCGAGGTGAGCATTGGAGCTTAGATGTTGCTCGCCTGAAAGAAGTCAAATCATGAAGCAAAACCGTTCTTTCTCGTGTCACTATGCACTCGACCACATACTTCGACAGCGGGGCCTCCAGTCTGGTGCCCACCAACGACAAGTGCAAGACGCTGCCGAGTTACATGTAGGCCAGTGCCCGGATATTGCAAGTGATAAGCGGCGGCAACCTTAATTATCGATCTGACTTTAGGCGACGCAGCCCAAGTTCGATTTGCATTCCCTGAAGCGTCCCCGGCGACCCCTGCAGCAGCAAGTTCATCCAGGACTGCGAGTCACAAGACCCGTCGCTGTACGGCACATGGTAGGATGACTACAAAAAGCCTTTGGCATGCCAGTTCGACGCTCTCTATGAAGAGAAGTGCCACGACGACCTCGAGTGCTGCCAGGGGTAGTGCTCGACCGGTACTTGCGAATCTCCCAGCTCACAAGAGCGATGTCCACGTCTAGAGGACTGTCCGTTCGCGCATGACTGTCAACCTGCCATGAGGGACTGACCATAACGAGAGGCGGTGCTTTGAAGGGGCGACCGCCGACGGCTGGCTGTGTCAAGACGGCGTAAGCGCGTGGCATTATAAATGCACGTTTGGGTGGCAGGGAAACAAGTGCTACGAGTATGATCCAACGGCTATTAATTGGTCGTGCCAAGGGCAGCGAATATTACTTGGCCCGCAATGCTGCCCAGGTCAACGCAGCCATCGAGGCAAAGATGCAAAAGCCAAAGGTGAATAAGTTTGAGTTTCAATAAGTTCCCTCTGCCTGAGTTGCATGGCGCAGTCAAAGTTGCGGCTTGACAGCTCCGGGAGCCGAGAGACGGAATGATCCAAGAGCCCGGGCACACCACCAAGAAGGGATCCCGAATCCGAAGGCTTGTTATACGAGGCCGGTAGATATAGTATAAACGCCCAAAAAGTCGCCGTCTTGGCTCCCAACGACGTGGAGCCGGTACTGCAAGTCCAAGCTCAATCATCCGTCAGTCATGCACCCAAACCCACTTACGGCCCCTCTTTACAACAGCTAAATGGGCGACAAATCCATTCGTCATCCGCAGATGGACCCAGGCTTGGATATAGTGCAGTTCGGATGTCCGCGGCGAATGCATGGCTGACGGGTTGACGCCACTGCATCGACTGCAACCTTGTCCTAGTCGACCACTCTTGATTCACTTTGGATCGCGACTCGTTGGCTGCAGTGACCCCCGAGGCTTTCCCCCCACCTTGGACAGCCGCCGAGCGTACACGGGACTTACACGGCCGATTGCGCGTGGCCTGACATCATCCCACGCTAATCAGATTGGGGATATGCGCAAGAGAGGCTGATGGAGTCAACTCCACTGACGATGGAGGCGTCACTCTGCAGCGTGCTGCTGACGGAGCAAGGGGGGGTCCCAGGCCAGCCGGCTGATTTGGCGAGCTCCGTGGACGGAGCCATTTTCGTTTTCTTATGAGAGCAAGGTGATATGAGACGAACGAGCGGTGGATGATGAGAAGATCGGACTATAAATTGGGACCATGTCGCTGTCGCGCGGTCGAGGACGAACCCATCTCCAGGCCCGTTCTGCTTGCTCAGGAGGATCAGCTCTAAGTAGATCTGCCGCCAAGCCAGGCCAAATCCCAGGTCACTTCTCACCGCCAGCCGAATTATGGCTCGCCTTCTCTCCCTCTTGGCCCTCGTCAGCACGGCGATCGGCTCTTCTATCCTGTTCGAAGGTGGTACCATCATCTCATGGGATGACGCCTCCTCCTCCACAACCATTACTCGCAATGCCTCCCTCCTGATCACCAACGACACAATCACGGGCATCTACGCCGCCGGCGAGTCTGTTCCTCGGCCATCGGGTAACGACACCCAAATCATTGACGCCACGGACAAGATCCTGACGCCGGGCTTCATCGACACGCACCGTCACGGCTGGCAGACAGCCTACCGAACCCTTGGCTCCAACACCAGCCTGTGGGAATACTTTGGCCGCTACGGCGAGTATGCCTCGGCCGGTCGCTACACAGCTGACGACGTCTATCTGAGCCAGCTGACCGGTTTGTACGAGGCCATCAATGCCGGCGTGACAACAACGCTCGATCACGCGTCGCACACGTGGTCGAACGAGACGGCCGAGGCGGGCCTGCGCGCCAGCGTCGACAGCGGTGCGCGTGTCTTCTGGGCGTACGCCATCCGTGACATCACCAACTTTACCATTGCCGAGCAGATCAGTAACTTCAGGGACATGGCCAGGGCGGCCATCTACGAGGGCACGCCGACGAGCCTGGGCATCGCCCATGACACGTTCAGCAGCGATGCCGAAGGTGCAGCGGCCGTCGTGGCCTTGGCCAAGTACGTTCTTGATTGTCTTTCCGGAGGATGCGACGTCGTGCTTTGCTGACATGCATGAACAGGGAGCTCAACGTCTCCGTCATCACCACCCACCTCCTCGAGGGTCCCTGGGGCTGTAAGTCCAATGCGCCGAACCCCTTGCCCCCCCCCTCTCCCTTTCAATTTATTGCCCTGTCCCCTCTCGAGACCGAAGCAGCGCTGACATGCGTCATTCGCTTGTTCCCAGTTTCCAACTCGCCCGAGCTGCTGCAGTCGCTCGACATCCTCAACACATCCATCCCCGTCGTCTTCTCGCACGCCTCGTTCCTCGGCTTCACCGCGCACGAGCTGCTCAAGGCGACGGACCAGCACATCTCCATCACGCCCGAGTCGGAGCTGCACTACGGCCACCTGCACCCGACGTCGCACCTGCTCCTCGACCAGGCGTCGCTGGGCGTCGACACGCACTTCACCTTCAGCACCGACATCCTGACGCAGGCGCGGCTGTGGCTGCAGCGGGTGCGCGCCCTCTTCTACGCGCAGGGCCTCGACGCCTGGAAGATCCCCGTCAACAACCCCATGTCGGCGGGCCAGGCCTTCATGCTGGCGACGGCGGGCGGCGCGCGCGCGCTGCGCCGGCGCGACCTCGGCGTGCTCGCGGCCGGCGCCAAGGCCGACGTTGTGCTCTGGGACGGCGCCGGCCCGGCCCTGCTGGGCTGGGACGATCCCGTCGCGGCTGTCATGCTGCACGCGAGCGTCGCCGACATTGACACGGTCGTCGTCGACGGTGTCGTCAAGAAGCGCGCCGGCCGTCTCGTCGTCGACGGGTACGACGGCCTCAAGACGCGCTTCCTCGCCAGCGCCCGCCGCATCCAGCGCGTCCTCAAGGACACGCCGCTGCCGGCGCCCACCGGCGTCTTCATGTCCGGCGCCGAGCTGACGCGTGTGCAGGAGGCCGACGTCGTGCCCGGTAACGGTACGGGGTACTAGGAGTACGCTTTTTGTTGTTCACCATTGCCCAGCCTCGACCATCCATCATCGTTTTTGATGGCTTGTTGGCAGATTCTTAGCTAGACATAGCGGTTGCGCTAAGAATAGTGCTATTACTACCCGAGTTTAAACTATCCGTCGTTAGTGTGAACACGATCAGTAATCGGCTTAGCTGCTTCAAAGCAGCTGTAGCGTGTCATGTTTTGAAGAGAACAGCAACTAGCGCCTATCACCTTGACCAGTCATCACTGGTATCAGACCAGACCCATACAAGAGCAACATCAAGTGGTCATCTTGCAGACACATCACACATCGAAAGATCATGTATCGCGTCAACGCATCAGATTGATGGATTGTCAATCCTAAGAGATGAAGTCTCACCAACAAAGCCTGCAGGCCAGAGAGCTTTGCTGTGCCTGGCCAAGAGGTCAACCCCGTTGTGTCTCCTGCAAGTCTCACTTGCTCGAGAGCCCGGGCCCGCCCGGTCATCGTGATCCGAGGGGAAACACTCAAGTTCATCACCCGTTTCAAGCCAAACCAAGATGTTCCTCCAAAAAGGGTGTACCAAACGCAACGTGGGAACACGGGGCGAACCTGATTCGCCCATTCTTGAAGATCATTGATGGTTCATCATGCGGCGTATGAGGCGCGAGATAGACCTGTCGGAACGTGCGGCGGATGATGGCACGGAAGATATGTTCTGCGCTGAGAAAAGACAAGACAAAAAAAACGGGAGTGAAAAGCGCAACCGGGAACCCTGCGGTGGTGTACGTGTGCAAGAATGGGCCATGGCGCAAAGCGACAGTCGTGAATAAACAAAAAGCTGGTGGCCCCCTCTGCCAACGATGCATTCCTTAACCATCTGGTTGAATGCCACAAGTGCGGTCTGCAAGTGCAAATCCATAATCAACATGGAACGTTTCACACGCGGTTCAACCTCTGCTAGCGGTGGCGGTGAGAGAGGCCGCGGGCGTGCCCGTGCACGTGGCGCCTAAGACGAGCAGCAGGAGCTGGCACCGGCGTCGCCTCGGCTGTGACCGTAACAGTCATAGTCTCATCGAGGTATTCCGTCACGAAGACGGTTTCCTCCTCCCAGTAAATGATCGAGACCACGTTACCGACGGTCACCGTCTGGGTGGAGTAGTAGGATTTGTTCTCGACCAGAACAGGAGGCTTCACCTCTGGTGTGATGACTGGCGGGGCCGGTTCCGAAGACGACGAAGAAGACGGCGCCACAGCAGCAGCAGCGAAGAGGTCACCACCGCTGCTCTCGGGTGCAGGGACCACAGCTGATGAAGATGGAATCTCAGGCTCGGGGATCGAGGGCTCGGGCACAGGGGCGGGCGAAGCAACGACGGGGGCAGCCTGCTGCGTAGACTGAGCCGGGTAGACATAAGCCGTCGAGCCGGTGACAGGCTTGGGGGCCAGGCTGGGAACGAAGGTGGGCTCCTGAGGAACGTCACCGCCGTATTCCTCGTGGCCATCGCCAAATGTGATGGGTACGCCGCCAGGGAGAGACTTCAAGGGACCCTGGCAGTCCTCGCTCGCAAGAATCTGGGGAACGTTCATCTTGCACTCGCGAGCCTTCTGCTCAGTGACAATCTCGAATAGCGGGCAGTCAAGGATGTTGCCAGAGTCGCTGGTGCAAGTATCGATGACCTGCTGGAGAAAGCCCTCGTCCCAGCCCATCATGAAGTCACCGTGGTACCCGAAGCCTGTTCATGGTCGTCAGCAAGGTCTCTTACGAAGACAGAGTGGAAAATCTTACCCTCGGCATCACCGTTGGACATGACAAACCTGCCGTTGCGGCCCTCGAGAGGCTTGGTGTTCCAAACCACCTCGAAGAGCATGTTGGGCAGGTGCTTGTCGAAACCCTCAGGACACTTGCCGTTGTTGAGCTCATCAGGATAAGCGACATGGGAGCGGTGGTCCTCCGAGTCAAGGTCAACACCGTTCCAGCACGAGGGGAAGTTCATCTCAGTACGGATACCATTAGGACAGTTGGCCTGGATGAACTGCTGCGTGGGCAGGAAGTGGCGGTAGAGAGTAGGCTCGGCTTGCCCGGCGTAGTTGAGGCAGTTGAAGCCCATCGACCGCTCACGGAGCGACTGCTGGGTCTTGAGGCCGAGAGCATCCCACTCGTTCGCGGGAGGGTCAGGTTGCGTCAGGTTCCAGGCTGTCCAGGAGCGTTGTTTGGTATCCCCCGCCACCATGCGGAAACCCGCAGGAAACGCAACAAGGTTGGGCAGGTGGTATTGGTAGTATCTGACAGCTACATCAGTGACGTGTTCCAAGATATGGCACAGCGGGTATCTGTAGTGAGGATTTGGCCTCGCGTTGGGATGGCCTGAGATTCCTACTGCCAGCAGAGGATCGCATTACTTACGCAAGCATACCGCCAACCTGCTCGACGAGCTCAAACTCGCCGGTGTCGGTGTCCTGGAAGTACATCGAAGGGTGCCAGTACGCAGACTTGTCCTGGAGGACACGACATGAGGTGCAGTCGCCGTCGCGGAGGTCATCGTACGTAGCGTTCATGCTGAAGCCTGCGTTGTGAGTTAGGTGGGACGAACGCAAGAGAGTTGGACATGTCAAGACTCACCAGACGAGCCGTGAATCGAATGGAGATGGAGCGAGGGCTCTCCGGGTGAGATCATAGGGTCAATCCGGGCAAGGCCAACGCGACCTTGACATTCCATGCGAAAAAAGGCGTCGACGCCCGCAGCCATGAAAATGGCCGTCGGGCCAACACTGGAGAACTTCATTTTTTGGTGCTTAAAAGCTATGTTAGGCCCTTAAGACTGCTGTAGAAGGCTGTCGTGGGTGAAGCCGACAGTCGAGACGGGGAGGTCCTGTGCTTGAAAGCAATGGAAATGATCTGAATGCAGATCAAAAGAAAAAATAACGAGTCGGAAGTGAACACAGAGTCTTCTTGAGACAAGTCGGCAGTGATTGATAGCGATGCAGTTGTGCGTGTGTTCTGCAACCCCTTTTGCGAAGGCTCTACTTTGGTGATCAATAGTTGTCTGAGGCCGGCCCCACTATTGATATCTCGACAAGGTGGCGGATATTGCCCTCGAGTTGCAGACAGACGAAGAGCCTGAACAATTGCGCCGTGTCAAGGTGCTGCCGTCGCGCGCGCAACTATCTGGTGTTGGGCAAGGTCGCGTGATGGTGCCTTTGGATGTCAGGCACTAGGCAGATGGTAATGCGGTCTAGCACGACGTTTGATATCCTGAAGGCGATAAACTCGATGGTTTTGGTCTACGGACTCTTTCTGATAAGCCGGGTGGACTTTGATCTGTACGCGGGCGACTGGATAGAATGCTGAGTGGAAGATGTTGTCACGGGCTGTGTTGCGATGGTCGTCGATATGGCACTGTGAGATTTTTGAGTCTCGACAGAGTGAATGGTAGCAGCTCGCGTTCCCGGCAGAGAAACAAAAAAGTCGCGATGATAGAGGTGATCAAAAAAAAACCAGCAGAGGGCAGTCGGTCGCGTATAATTTGCTGCTTCTGAGTATGGGGCGAAACGAATGCGGTCAACACGAAGGGTATCGCAAGAGGGTCGAAGAAGGTCGGAGGAGGGCGTGAATGTAAAGACGCGAATGTAAGGAGGAGAGGCGAAGCGGACAGGCGTCAACAAGGTCGAACGATGTCAAAGTAGAAATCGGAGGCCGAAGAGGGATCCCAAAGGAGTGTCGAGGTGGGTGAGAAGGAGCGTCAAGTACGACAACCTGGGGGATGTCGCACAAAGGGAGTGATTCCCAGGAATGAGAGAGAGACAACCAAGCCGAAGCTGAAGTGAATGTGAGGAATACAAATGGGATCCAGAGAAGTAGAAGGCTGGGGTGCAGAAGAGAGTGACGAAAGGTGGGTTTGGCGCGCAGACGGAGGAGGGTAGAAGAATGAACGGCGGGGGTGGGTGGTAAGGAGCGTAAAGCAGAAAGTGAATGTGATGGTGGTGAGGTGAGACGCGGAGGTGGAAAGGAGGGGGGGGGGGGGTCCGGCAGAGAGTGTGCCGCAGGTCGTCGTCAGGAACGCAAAGCTTCTAAAGGAGGGCCAGGAAGCAGGAACCAGAGACAATGGCGGGCGGGTACCACTTCTATGGGAATGGGGGTTACAGGGGACCGGGGTGGCATGGCAGGGGGGATCGGTGCGCCAACCAACAACCTTGGGTACCTACCTGCCAACCTTACCAGGGGGCAGGGGGGTTTATTTGGGTGAGGAAGGCGGTCGCTGCCCCGCCAAGTTCAGACGTCGATGGATTGAGCAGGCACGACGATGAGGAGAGAAGGTGGTCAGCGTCGCTTTCCAGGGGCAACTACCCACGGCACGCGATCCGATAATGGCTACTACGTTGTGTATGCTGTGCTGCGACGCCGCACCACATCCTTTGTGCCCCCCCCCTTTCGAGTGCTCTTCAATGTTCCGTCACCCATGCCTCACACGGGCTATTCGTCCCTCTCGTTCCCTGTTCGCGTTTTGCCGTTTCTTTTGCCGATCGAATCAAGCTGTCGACCTCTTGGCTTCCCTGCTCTGGGACTGCCTACAAAACAACAGCCCCCAACGTTCTGAGCGCCTGTTGCTTGACGGCACTGTCGGCACATACGACTCTGACGATCCTGTGGATCTGTCTGACGATGGGGAGGGCTGGTCATCAGAAGTTTGTTTGCCTTGCACAAACTCGGCCAGGCATTTGTCTGTGGCTTCCTCGCAGGACAAGCAACCAGTGAAAGGAAGCAAGTGTCAAGAGGCCAGTGGTGCATGGTGCGCCGCATCGCCAGGTGTCGACCTCGGTACTACCTCTCGCGTCAGAAGGGCCGAACCAACGATAGCTCTCCGGGCGATGATGATCGAGTCGCATAGCATCACCGTCACCTGAAGGCGTCGCGCAGGGACCAGTGCACAGCGTCTGCGCATAGCGTCTACATGGTACGCACAGCTGAGGCTCATGCTCAGGTGCCGAGACGATGCGACGATCAGGAATGTCAATTCGTCCGAGATGGGCGCTGTCGTCGGAGATCTGCATAAAGGGAAGGGACGCCTACGGACGAGAGAAGCAAGTGCCAAGTTCCAGCAAGGAGAGATGTTCAGCAGAAAGTGCCAAATGCGCAACATGGGAAATGGCAAGGGGGAACGTCAGATCTCGGGGGTGGCAGCAGAGTGGAGACCAGAGACGCTGCCTGCCACTTGGGGGGCGCGCTTCTGCCGCGCCATTGGGCGAGTGCGGGGCTATTGTGCCGGCATGATCAACGCCAGGGACAGGGACCGCCCAGGGACCTGAAAGCCTCCTCAGCGGGGGGGGGGGAGACATCCAAACGAGTCAGGGGCGCTAACACCTTGGGCGGCGGCACCTTCCCGAACTTTGGACGTAGCTGTGAGTGGCTGTTTCCCCTGAGAAAAGGTGAGGCAGGCACATGCCTTGGCGCATTGGGCTGCTGATTGCCGCTGCGCGCCGTTGCCTGCTAGCTGCTAGTGCTGCTTGTCCCACCATCGATCGCTCCTGCCACCCACCCACTGCATCGCCACTGCCATACTCGTACTATTCAATGGCGCGTGCCGGTGTGCCGCCTCGTGGAATCTTACCTTCATGATGATGGGCATTTGACCTCAATAGCTTCCCCTGCCACCATGTCAGTCTTCCTCATGACGGTCTGGATTCCAGCGTCAAGCGTGCGCGCGACAGACGCGATCCTGCCCACGCGCTGCACCAGACCTTGCAGCAGCAGCAGCAGCAGCAGCAGCACCGCGCACCGCCTCCTGACAAACGGGGACACCCCTTCTTACGACGAAGCACGAGCCTACCATCGTCCCAAGTCCATGTCGCACCACTTCAACTGGCCAATTCCCGACGAACTCATAGATTGGCCTGAATCCGATGTGCGCTGGCCGCCTCACAAACACCGACTGCACGCTGTCGACTGTCGCACTACATTGGACGCCTACCAGCCAACCCACTCGCTTCGTCTTTGATTCTGTGTGTGCCCTTGTCGTTGAGCAACCATGTCGTCTGTCTAGGCCCCGTCGATGATTGCGCAAATTTGCTTCCATTTGCTTCAATTTGCTTCAATCTGCCCTCGGTGGCCTTGGCCTTGGGATCCGACGCTAACGCTGCAGGACATCCTCGCACTACAGCGCCTCCTTCTCGCCTGTCATTTCACACCTGCTGTTTCTGACACGATGGACCGCTCTGCGGTGCCGTGTCAAGGCCCGAGGCCGCGGTACCTTTGCCTGCTATTGAGATACGCATCTCCAACATGTTTCCTCCATCTTGAGGCAATGGCGTCTAACGGCTGTACTGGATCTTGTATCGCCAACCAGGCTGACCAGTCCCACGATCATCATCAGTAGTAGATGGAGATGCTGGAGAGCGAAATTATGCCAAGGAAATTGTTCGTGCCAAGGCCCCTCTCGAGGTTCACCCTTTGTTCCTTCAGCCCCAGGGGTGAAACCCGTTTCGGATCTTCTTCTCAACACTACAACGCTGGCCAATGAGCGCCACCCAGCAACCCCTACCTTCACCTGGAATTTGAAATTCGATCCTGGGGTGGGCGCAGCCGCGAAGTTAGCCATCTGCCAGGATGCCGAATCGCCAGCTGGCCGACAGCAGGCACGGGCCTTTGTCTTCTGGAATTCTGTCGAAACGAGTCATCGGCTTCCGTGACATGGCCGATGTCTTACTCTGAGAAAAATGTCCCGCTTTATGACGACATGTGTGGGTGATCACTATTTCGCCCTCGTGCACGATGAGACGTCCCTTGTGTCGAGGGACCGGATAGCTTGAAGGTCGACAGCACAACACGGCGGCCTGCCTGGATGGATTGTGTTTAGTTCCACTACGTTTTTGCTCGCTCGCAATGACCACAAGTGGCTCGTGGGTGTTTTATACAGAGCTCACACCGTGATTGGCTTCGTTCAATGAACTTGACAGAACATCACGTGCCGTTGTTTTTGATGCCATGGGATCTCGTAAGGCCGGGCTACCCAGCCAAAGAGTTGGCCAACTATGAAGGCTTCATTAATCAGATTTGACTATCAATTCAAGTCCAGCTGTCACTGAAGCTGGAGCGAGATGCCGTCATGCAAACCCGCCGCTACCAGCTTGCAAACGAATCGTCGAGCATGAGGCTTTGGCAGGTGAACCCAATTTGAGGCCAGGGCTGAACAGCGTGATAAGCCTAGAGCCTCGCATAAAGAAGAATTGGACCTCCAACTAAGCCTCAAATCCTTTCACATAAAGATCAACCCACTTGCTCTCCAGGAACTCGTTGTCTGGTGGCTTACGTGGCGAGACCTGTGATCAAGTATCTCAAGAAAACGATAATATTTGCTGAGAGTTCGCGAGATCCATATCGTGGAAGTTCTTGAACTACCTACATAAGACATCTCTGGCGCGCTAGCGACTTGGACAGAGGTTTTCACTTCTTGGATTTTGCCTCTGGATTCATAACTTCACCGCCAGCCATCTCTCCGTTTTGGTGTTCGTAAGGGCGGTTTTCCTTGGGCCAACACTACGTTGCATTCAAGCTGAGAACACGTCCACGTCCATCGTTCCGCGACCAGGATCCCATGCCCCCCGTCTGTGAAGTCCCTTGCCGCAGGCGAGGCGCTGATTCCGCTCCATCCGTTGGTGTATCTTGTGAAGGACTCGGCTCGGCCCTGCACGTGTTTGTCTTGCCCGCTAAAAGAAAAACACAACAACGGATGGGATTTATCCCACAAGGTCGGCATCTACGCATCAACTCCCTGACGCGAGGCCGATGGCAACACCCTCTACGTCGCCAGTGAGACGACCGGGTAGGTGTCGAGAGTGGTAACGTGGAAGACATACGGCGTACCCTACATCCACCAAGTATGTCAAGGCAGGTAAGTCACACATTCAAACTGATTTTTTCATGTCAAGTATCCAAAATAGTGGTGTCGTGTTAAAGGGGACTCAAAAACTTTAAAAGCAGAGGGTAAGAAACAAAAATAAATAGGAACAAGACCGCAAAGGTGGCGGTCAATCAACCAGCCCGTCACGGAGCGTCTCGAAGCGCCGCAGCACAATTTAGCGCCACGGCGGCCAGCCAAAGGGTTCGGTCACGCTCCTCATCTCTCCCCTCTCCACAATGCGATACTTCGCACGCTCATTTCCCCCAAAGAGAATATGTCAGAGCCAGCAACGCCGCCGGCTCAGGCATCTGCCAGACAGAGAGACTGGAGGTTTACGGAGACTGGCATCCCGTGCGAATGGGCTGAACTCTATCGGCCAGGAGGGTTCCACCCTACCCATCTCGGAGACATCATGAACGATCGCTACGAAATCATTCGTAAACTTGGAAACGGGTCGTATTCAACTGTTTGGCTAGCGCTGGACTTTAGGTTGGCATCCCGCAATGCGTGCACTGAGCTCAACTGATGACTGTCTACCAGGTCCAACCGATTCGTTGTCCTAAAGATTGGTGTCTCTAAAAACGGCAACCACGCATATCTTGCCATTCAACGAGATCTGGCGAGCAAAGCAGCCGAAGATTCCGATTCACGCTATGTGGTGGCTCTTTTGGACTCCTTCATCCAAGAGGGCCCAAACGGGCATCATCCATGTTCGGTTCTCGAGCCCATGGGCCCCAGCGTATCCTCCATTCTCAATGCTCCGCGGAAGATACTCGACTTGCGCAACATGCAGCCCCGGCGATTTTCAACACAGAAGACAAAGGCGATTCTGCGAGACGTTCTTTGCGGTCTTCGCTTCCTTCACTCGAACGACATTGTGCACGGCGACCTTCAGTCAGGCAACGTGCTATTCTCCGTGAGGGACTTGAATTTGATTAGTGTCGATGACCTCCGACAGGACATCAACAGTTCCCGAATTGAGTATTTGAAACGGAAAGATGGCAAGATTGACAAGTGGGCTCCCAAGTATTTGATCGTCGCGATGCCCCTGAACGACTACGTTCGTCCAGACGAGGAGCAACACGTGAAGATCATTGATCTGGAAAGCGGTAGGTTACCACTCTCATCTTGCGTCTCATGCTCTCTAACACACTGTCTTGGACTACTAGCCTTTCTTGAGAGTGAGCCTCCCCCGCGAATTGTTACGCCAGTCGCCCTGAGGGCGCCAGAAACCATCCTCGGCGGTCCTGTTAGCCGTAGTATTGACATTTGGAGCTTGGGCTGTCTCCTGTTCGAGCTCTTGACCGGCATGCCACTCTTTCAATTGGCTGTCGTGGGCAATGCGGACGAAGCTCTGGACGATGATTACATGATCCAACTCGCGGAGGTCCTCTCGCCACTGCCTGAGAGCATAACGAGTAAGTGGCCCAGAGCGGGCCAATACTTCGGGCCCAACGGTGAACGTCTGGATGCCGCGGTTGGAAAGTCCAAAGAAGATTCCCTCCACTCTGATGACGACTTGGATGAAGAGGAGGAGGAGGAGGACGATTTCGATGACGACGAGGTGGAGTTCCCCACGGGAGGGTTTGGCCCTCCTCTGCCCTGCGATCCGCTGGAGAAGCTTTTTGGGGACAACAAACCTCAAGACGTTAACGGAGACGAAGAGAAGACGATTCTGTCTTTGCTGCGATGGATGTTGCAGTATGAAGTTTCCGAGAGGCCTACAGTTGATCAGGTGCTAGACCATGCGTGGTTCGAGACGTGAGGTCAGGCAGGTTTCACAAGACGGACTGCGCGTGAGCAGATGTGTAAAGAAGAAGCTAGATAGTAAATATGAATACCCATGGTCATGCAGACTGCCTGTCCACGATTGTCTCAGGTACCTGGGTCTGAACAACCTCACCTACCTTACCTGAGGTACGTATCCAAGGTGCCTGAGACATCAAGCCGGCGGCTTATGTCAGCAGCCAGCCCCGCCGCGCGTGTCACCACAGACGGCAAGCACCAGCTGGCCTGGAGCTCCTGGCTCCCACCTCTCGATCCACCTCACACGACACATGCCATTGCATCCTGCATCTCCTTCTGACGACCTTATGAACCACACTCCATGATCCTCCGACAATAGAGTTACATCGATACCCGATTCTCCCGCCTCCAAAATGGACGACCTCTCCGGGTTGGACTGGTCCGCATCGAGCACCAAACAACAGCCAAAAGCCCCCTCCATCCCTCCAGGCGCCAACTACTACGGCTCAGCCCAGCTGAACCCCTCGCCCTCGCCCTTCCAGTCCGGCCGAAACACACCCCTCTCGACGACGCAGAGCAAGCCCTCGACGCCGCCCGTCGTCGGCGGCCAGACGAAACCCCCCGCCGCCCCCGCCGACAGCTTCAGCAACCTCCTGAACTTTGGCGGCCCCGCCAAGCCCAACGCGAACCTCTCCCTGCGCGAGCGCCAGGAGCGACTCGAGGCCGAGAAGAGGCAAAAGGCCGAGGAGAGGCGGAAACAGGCCGAGACGAGCTTCGGCAGCGGGCAGTTCTGGGACACGCTCGGCAACAGCAACGCTGCGTCGCGCACGGCGTCGCCTGCGCTGGCGCCGCCATCGCGCGCCCCGGCCACGTCGAGCGGCCACGGGGTCGGCGCCAGCGCGAGCGCCGATGACGACCTGTTCGCGGCGTTCAACAAAGATACCAAGGTCGACAATGCGAGCCACTACCCCCCGCCGGCTCCCAAGCCCGTCGCACCGGCACTTGATCTGAGCGATCCGACCTCCTGGAACAAGGCGCCCGCCGCAAGTCCGAGCAATGTCGACTTGAACGATGACGACGACGACCCTTTCGGCTTGAACACTATGAAGGGAAAGGCTCCCGCTGCGGCACCGGCGGCGTCGACCAACACGGCCGACGATGACGACTTTCTGGGTGACCTGGCGAAACCGGTGGAGGAGGTACGGCGCAAGCACACCCCACAATCGAAGCAGCCCGAGGCAGGCAAGCCTATCGAGGGCTTCGACTCGAGCTCAGACGATGAAGCACCTGTGCAGCCTCCACGAAGAGGAAAAGGCCAGTCGGACGCGTTTGACGATGCTGTCGCGCAGCTCGTGGACTACGGCTTCACACCCGAAAACGCCAGGCGAGGCTTGACGGAGAGTGGTGCTGGCCTCAACGTGCAAGCGGCGGCGAACTGGCTGCTCGACGATGCGCATCGACAATCAAAAGCGAAGGCACAGGGAAAGGATCCCCTGGCCGAGTCCAGGCGACATCGCGACGAAGGACGAGCCGATGGGCCCCGGCGGACGGATTCTAGGTCACCCGCTGCCGGCGATGACCTCTCCAAGGCCGCCGCGGCTGTGGGAAGCAGCGTCTTCAAGGCGGCCAACTCGTTCTGGAAGACGAGCAAGAAACAGGTCGCGCAGGCCTACGCTGAATTCAACCAGCCCGAGGGAGACCCCAACCAGCCGAAGTGGATGCGTTCGGCACAGCAAGAACAGGGCCAGCCTGCACCCAGGAGACAAGCTGCAGAAGCGACGGACGAGGCCATGATGCTCGACTCTGGCGCGCGACCAGAGAGGAGACCGGCGCAGAGACCACAGGCGCCACGGCCCGATGAGCGCAAGGCGTCGCCGCGAGGGCAATCCCCGGCTCTGTCGGCTGGCCCGTCATCTGGACGCAACAGCCCGGCGCCGAGGTGGCAGCAGTCCGCGCCCGTCATTCCCGATTCGAGGGCCCGCGCCAGCAAGCTTGCGATGGAGGACGACAGTCTCTCGTCCTATGTGAGCCCGCACAGGAGGAAGAAGGCTACCCCCCAGCCCCAGCCCCAGCCACAGTCCCAGCCGGCAGCACCGCAGGAGGAGCCTGATCTACTGTTCAACGCGCAAGCACCAAAACCCCAGACGGCACTACCGCAGCGCCCAGCACAAGCTGCTCAGCCCGTCAAGCGGCCCACGCCAGCTGCCGCTCCACGGGCAACACCTCCCGCCCGCCAAATCCCAACCATCTCGCCAGCAGCTGTCGCGCAGTCCGCCCAGCACCGCCTCGCGGGCACCCAGCACTTCAAGCGTGGCGACTATGCCTCTGCCCATGCGTCGTATTCCAGCTCCCTCGCAGCGGTGCCATCCACCCACCCCCTCGCCATTGTCATTCTTACGAATCGCGCCCTCACCTCCCTGAAGAACGGCGAGCCGAAAAAGGCTGTGGAGGATGCCGACGCCGCGCTGCAGGTCATAGGCCCTTCTCAGGGCCAGGGCGAGCACGTCAGCGTCACGACGGACGCTGGCGCCGAGGAGCGCCGCGACATGCGCGACCTCTACGCCAAGGCGCTGAGCCGCAAGGCCGAGGCGCTCGAGCAGATGGAGCGCTGGGCGGAGGCCGGTGCCGTGTGGCAGACGTGCGTGCAGGGCGGCATCGGTGGGCCCACGGCCGTCGCGGGCAGGCAGCGGTGTCAGGCGGCTCTCGCGCCGAAGCCCAAACCCAAGCCCAAGGCGGCGCCCGCGCGAGCGCCCGTCAGGCCACGTGCGGCGGCGCCGCAGCAGCAGAAGAGCTCCGAGGCCGTCGAGAGGCTGCGGCAGCAGAACGTGGCGGCTGCGGCCGAGGATGACGAGAAGTTTGCGCTGTCGGAAAAGGTCGACACGCGGATCGCGGCGTGGCGGGACGGCAAGCGGGACAACCTGCGCGCCCTGCTGGGAAGCCTCGACACGGTGCTCTGGGAGGGCAGCGGGTGGAAGAAGGTCGGGCTGCACGAGCTCGTCATGGCGAACAAGGTCAAGATTGCGTACATGAAGGCGATTGCCAAGTGCCACCCGGACAAGGTAGGTTGATGGTCGTGCCGATGCATCGTGGACAAACATGTGCTGACTCGAACCAGCTTGCGCAGGACGCCAGTACCGAGGTCAGGCTCATCGCGGCGACCGTGTTCGCGACGCTCAACGAGAGCTGGGACAAGTTCAAGTCGGAGAACGGCTTGTAGGCGGTTGCTAGGCATGCATCAAAAGGCAGCAGGCTGTGGCGTTTTTTTGTTCGTTTTTCTTTTGGTTAGACGGGGCATTAGACGGGACTCTGGCTGGGTAGACGGATTATTCAATTCACAAGCCCCCCCCCAACGCCATGCTATGTATGCCAGCCTGCGCGCGCTGCCGGCTTTCCTGGTCACTCTGTTCCCTCGCGTGTCGTGAAGCCTCCTGTTGCCTCGTCCAGCCGCGCGGCACGTCTTGTTCATCGTCCCACAGCAGAAGAAGCACATGCCATCACAGGCCGAGCATCCGCCTGACGCCATCGCGGACCTTTTGCTCATACTCGCGCCGCCTCTCGCGCCACATCTTGGCGGCCTCGACATTGGCGGGGCTCTCGTCATTGGGCTCGGCCAGCATGCTCATGACGCTGATGAGGATCTTCTCGACGCTCTGGATGGGGCTCCAGCGCTCGCTCGCGTGCTCGTAGTGGTTGGGGTCGTCGCCGGGCGGGTGCAGGATGGAGATGCAGACGAGGCCCGAGGGGTAGACGTTGGGGTGCCAGACGTCGGCGAGGAAGCGCATCGACGGCGGCGCCAGCGGGTAGTCCTTGGGGAAGCGCAGCTCGGCGGGGAAGACGCCGCCCTCGAAGGGCGTGCCCTCGGGGCCCTGGATCAGGGCCTCCCAGTGCAGCAGGTCGTCTTCGGTGACGGGGCCGGCGGTGATGCCGTCGGGGGGGTTGTTGGTGAGGGCGCGGTACTCTTGGAGGAGACGGCGGTGGGCGGTGGACTGGGCCATTTTTTTCTCTTTCTCTTTTCCTTTTTCTTTTCTTTCTTTCCCCTTTTGGTCTCTCAATCGCCTGAGGAGGGCGTATCTGATTCTTGTGTTTGGTTGATGGTGTTCCTCTACGTGGTTGCTGGTGTCCTGGTGGTGACACAGCTGCTTCGGATCGGCGGGGTTCTTGGACGCTGCTTCCCCCAATGCCGATATGCCTTAGTAAGCAGCTCGAGCTCCCGATGAGAAACAGCAGAGCTCCACAGTCTATGGAAGCTCAGAGCTCGTCAATGGAAAGCTTCCCGTCTGATCGAGCATCGAAATCAAGCATCGACAATCGACCATCGTTGCCCATGGTCCAGGGCCATCCCATCACCCCTCGCCCACCATGACCTCGCGGATCCCCCTGCGCGCCATCGCAGGCCGCTCGGTTGCCTCGCCCCTCCGACCCCGGTCATCGCTTGCCAGGACCCCCGCCTGCCTGTTCTGCGCCCTCAGCACCAGAACACCGCGCCGCTTCCAGTCCACGACGTCAACTGCACCTTCGAATCCCCGTGCAGAGCTCATCGATGCCCTTCTCGATCTCCAAAAACACGCCCCCAACTACATCAACCTCTCGCGGCTGCAACTTGCCCTCCAAGGCCTGCGTCAACCCGCCGGCGAGGAATCCATCCGCGTCGCGATACTCGGTCTCGCCAATGGCGCCGAGCCAGGCACAACGGCAAGAGACCTCCTGCGTCTCCTCCTCGCCGACCCTCTCGCCTCGGAGCAGGCATGGGAGAAGCAGATGGCGACGCATGATGCCCGCCAGCCCCTCGTCGTGCGGATACGGCAAGCACAGCCCGGGCCCGAGGCCGCCAGCCTGACGATAGCCAAGACGAACCTGCTGCACGAGCTCGAGGTCTCGCGGCCCGGTCTCAACGGCCTGCACCTCGAGCTGCTCCTGACAGAAGTCAGCCCTCTGGCGGGGGGCGTCGCCGGCGAGCTGGGCGCCGTGGACGCCGAGGAGGCCGTCCTGGTGCCGACCGTCGACATCCCCTCCAACACG